TCAGTTGACAAGTTTTCTTTTGCATTAATTTTCAAAAAATTATTTATGTGTATGTGCCTGCTTGTCTATATATGCACCATGTACATGAAGTACCTATGGAGGCCAGAAGGCATCAAATCCCTTTTGAACTGAGTTACAGGAAGTTATGAGATGCCCTACGTGGGTGTTGACTTCTGAGCCATCTCTCTAGTCCTTCTTTTGCATTTTGAGTAATATAAATGTGTCCTCTATCTTCCAAAGCTTTGAAAAAAAAATCAGTGATAATCTTAGGAGTTGCATGTCTTTAATAAGTCATGTTCAAGACTCTGTGTTGTCAGCCCTCATACATCTGTGTCTTTCCAAATGTGTCCTGTTTTCTTGGGTGCACACATTCTTCTTTGGAGACACTATGATGATATCTTGTTTGTACAAATAAAGCTTGCTTGAAGGGCAGAGGGCAGAGCTATTCACTAGCTAACCATAGAGCCCTGGAGGTCTGTACAGACAGACAGGAAGTGATATGACTGGGTGGAGAGAGGAAGTGAGAAGGCGGGAGGAGACAGGTGCTCAGTCTCTTTTTGGCTGGGAAGTTGAGAAGGTAAGGTGGCTGTGGTTTTGCTCCTTCATCTCTCTGATCTCTCAGCATTTCCCCCTATATCCAACTCTGGGCTTTTATTATTGAGACCCATTAGAACTTGTGGCTAGAGGGAATTTTAACATTTTCTGGGCTCCTTCTTTCTCTATGTCTAAGTTTTACAACATTTTTATAGCATGGTGGCTGTAGTGGTTTGGATGAGATGTCCCCATAGTCTTGGACATTTGAATACTTGGATCCCATTTGTGATGCTGTCTGGGAGGCTTAGGCGGTCTTGCCTTACTGTGGGTGGGCTTTGAGAACATAAGGCCTGGCTCCACTCCTAGTTTGTTCCCCTTGTGCCTACTGCTAAGTGTGTGAGCCCTTGGCTTCCTGTTCCAGCTTCCACACCTCCACTCTGCCATCACGGACTCATCCCTCTGGAACCATGAGCCTAAATAAACTGTGCTGTGATCTCCCTGGTCATGGTACTGCATCACGGCACTAGAGAAGTAACTAGTGCAGGGTTCCATGGGCTCCTTAAGTTGTTTCCTTTTAGTCTTTAATTTTTTAAGGCTTAATAACTTCCAAATTTGCTGTGTCTACTCAGAGCTACTCTGGGGAATCATTCATTTCTGTTATTACACTGCTTTTTGGTTCTTTTTTTGAATATATATTAAAGCCATGCTGCTAGATGTGCTATTTCCGTAGAGAAAGCNTATTCATACATTTCTTAACAGAGGTTGTTCATGCCTTCCTTTACGGTTGTGAGCATTTTTAAGTCTTGATTTCCTCTGGGATAAGTTGTTATCTCTAGCTTTTGGATATATTACATTTCCTGATTTTTCTTTGTGTTTGTGACTTTGTTGATCAAAGTTAAAAATGTTGAGTCTTATGGTATACTTCTGTGATCAGTCTTAGGGTTTGTTTTTGTTGACTAGACCGTCTCTTGGTGCTGTGAGTCAACCTGAAAGGAAAGCCTGGAGTCTCCACTCCTTTCCCCTCCCTACCCGACCATGTTTGCTGGACTGCTAAATTTGCCCTTACACCGGGTTGCTTTTGAATGTCCTGATCCTTAAAAGACTGGCTCCTTAGATGGCAAAAATTTGTATTTATTTCTTGTGTATGGGTATTCTGCCTGTGTGTCTGTCTATGTACCACCCGTGTGTGTTGTGAGGCATGGTTGTGAGCCACTGTGGGTGCTGTTAATAAACTCAGGTCACCTAAGAGCAGCCAGTGCTCTTAACTGCTGAGCACCTCTCCGGCCCCTAATTAATCTTTACCCATAGGTGGTATTCCTTTAAACCCTGTGGGAGTTACTTAAGCTAGGGGAGTGGACACATGACAGCCAGCCCCCATGTTTCCCAGGAAACAAAAAGAGCAGCCGCCACACAGCACCCCATTCGGAGGGCAAGGTGTTCTGCTCATTTGGCCCGGGCAGCCTGAACCAGACATGCACACAGGGTTGTCACTGGCTAAGCCACTGAAATTAGTGGAGATTAACGACAATGTATCAATCAAGCTTACTTGGACAGTCAGTTTCAACGCTAATGCTGGTAGGATTGCTACTGAGCGGGAATTATGGATTCCTGGTGCCTTCTGAGGTATGTTCTGTGACATCACTTCCCTTCTGTAAGTTTTAAATGGAGTACCTTTATTAGTATTTTAAAATAAATTTGCAAGTCATTTCCTCAATAAATAGAATGGTGAGCTGATTGCTAAGGGTTAACTCATAGTTGGATTCTATCACTGTCCACAGGCATTCAAAAAGAATATAAACCAAAAGGCATTTACTGCTCAAATGTATGTCGTTATTTTTGTTGTACTTGATCTATTGGTTTCTAAAACAAGTGTGCTATTCTATTTATCTTTCCATTTTCCTTGTACTTTGGAATTGATTCCGGCGTAGAGTGCAAGTGACTTGCCTTTTTACAGTTTTTTTCTAATTCATATCATGTTCTACATACATTTTAGCATATATTTCTAAAAATATTGACAGATAATAAAAATACTGTCTTCTAAGCAAGGAAAGAGAGCATGCCTTCACTTTTCCTCTCACTCAGAATGCTCATCCTTTCCTGTAACAACCCAGAGCTGAGCCTGCCCTGTTGTTGTTGTCTTACTTGCTTTCCCAGCGCCCAGCTGCCTAGCAACACCTGCCTGTTCCACAGTTTCACAGTTCCTTATTCCAAGGGATGAAGCATCCATCCTATTAGAGCACACTCCAATTTTTTGATTCCTGAAAATGCGTTGATCTTCCCGACTTTAGGAACACTGACCGTAAGATTCTGGGCTAGCATTATTTCTCTATACAGAAAAAGAAAGATATGACATGTATACCAAAAAGAAGAGAGGAGCTGCGTACAACAGGGGGTAACACTGAGACCTCGGGATTCACAGGACTGTCTGGGCAATAGAACAGGACCTTGTCTTAAATAAATAAACAAATACATACATAAAAGGAAAGAAGTATGAGTGAAAAACATATTTTTATTTTAAACTGATATGTGGAAATTCTACCACTTGACTGGAAAACAAGAGAAGCAATATTCTCATTGGCAAAGCTCTGCACACTGGTATTTTAAAAGACATAAACATCCCACCAACACAACGGCTTATTTGAGCTTGTGAATGGCATCCACATTTTATTGACAAGTCAGAATACAGATTCTGCGAAGGAAAACAGCTTTCATAGGAATATACTTTCAATCCGAGAGATCAGAAACTTGATCCAAAGTTACACAAGTGAACAGCAAAGAAACAGACCTTCTAAAGGCAGCAATGTTTCAAAGAAGCAAAAATGAGGACAGGAAGTAGATATTAAAGGGAAATACTCACTGGAGGATCACAAAAGCAAGTTCCACACTGAGGCATTAAGGTCACAGCAGTGACCTGCAGACACAGTATGCAGAAGTCCTGAAGAAGCTGAACAAACACAAACGGTTCAGGTGTGGGAGCTATGGACTTTTCTGGTACATGTAAGGACGTCGAGGTGGACGTCGCATGCTCTGCACAGCACACTGGAGCTAGTGGTCTGGATAACTGTCAGTGTGAAGACGAAAATGAGCATTTCTAGAGGCTTACTAAAGATTTAGAGATGGCAGGATACATCTTCAGGGGTCAGGAGTGCATCTCCCAAGTGAACCAAGTGTCCCTAGAGACAAGCATGGCTGTCAGGCCCTGGGCACCGCTGCTCTTGTGTTCCCAGTGGAGACAGGGAGTAACTTCAAAGGTTAAAGAGGACCTTACTTCTAAGTCTGACCTACTGTGCTGCTTAAAAAAAAATTACTTGTTTTTTCACCTTTATGGGTGGTTTTGTCTGCATGTATGTCTGTACATCACTTTTATGTGTTTGGAGTCCACAGAGGCCAGAAGACGTGTTGGGTCCCCTGGAACTGGAGTTACAGACTGGTGTGAGCTGGGAATCACACCCAGGCTCTCTGGAAGATCAGCCAATGTCCTTCACTACTGAGCCATCTCACCTCCAAGTAGAACCAACTTTCCCACAAACAAGCAAGAATCTAGGTTTTTTTTTTTTCTTCTATCCAAACACTTCTGAGGATCAAGAAAAGAAATTGTGGGATAATTGACTTCTGTTAGAATTTCTAATGAAAAAAATAATTTCTGACAGGTTATATGGCTATTAGATACCATGTGTGATGGTCTGAATTAAAATGACCCCCATAGGCTAATATGTCTGAATGCTTGGTCTGCAGTTGGTGGAAAGGATTAGGTGTGGCCGAGCTGGAAGAGGCGTGGCCATTCTGGAGGAGGCGTGTCAATGGGTGCAGGGCCATTCCCAGTTTGTGAGTCTTCCTCAGCCTGCCTGCTGCCTGGCTCCCTGACATGCCCTCTGGAACCTCGAGCCTTACATTAAGTGCTTTCTTTTGTAAGCTGCTTTGGTCATGGTGTCTTTTCACAGTATCAAAAATAGCTAAGACTCCATGATATCAAGGACTAATGATTTAGGAAAACATTTTCACAATCTAATAAGAAAAGGTGTGAGGGAATCAGAGTCCTGCTAAGATCAGGGTAAGATCAGGGAGCATACGTGATGCTAATGATGCGTGTTCCGGGTCACGGGGTCAGGAGCAGCCTCTGAAACCAAACCAATGGACATTTTTTACAGTGCATGTGGGAGAAGCCTCTGAAAAGAAGGAATTGTGCCTTCTTTTACAGTGTGGTTCCAGTTGCCACCTCCTTGCTGATACGACTGGGTGGCATCACTGAAGATTCTCTGAAGGGGGCAGAGTCTGGGCACTGCACTGTCTTTCCACTTCCTGGAAGAAGCAAACACTCCTTGGATTAAGTCGGTGGACCCCAGTCGGGAAGCTGTGCATGTGACACATTAACCTACTGATTCATTTAAGATACTGGTGAGGACTCCACCTGCAAGATGTCTAGTATCTTCTCCACTGGTCGTGCTCATACTGTCTGCCTCCTGCACCAAACAGAAATAAAACCCAAGTAAGAAGCACTGTCTCCAAACAGTAGCTCTGTTCTAAGTACGCATAAAGACAGACTGCTGAGTGGTACTGGAGGACAACATTTTTCAGTTGTGACCACCTGTCATTAAATTTTGTTCTATAATTATTTCATTAAAGTGGAAGCAATTAATTAGGAGGTAGTGCTATTAGTAGAAGGAAACTGTCAAAATTGTTTCTCCTGGTGCCAGTTCTAACCATCTGCAGGACATCTAGATGTTTATTACTGCTAATGACTCTGGAAATGGAAATTCATATGCAGATGGCTGAGAGGACTTCTTGCCAAGCACAGAAAAAGCCACGTGTGGCTCTCCCAGGGCTGAGCTCACAAGCCCCCCAACCCCACAGTGTAGCTGGCCACTTCCTGCCTCTGACAGACACTTATGCTGGGAAGGGACTTGGAGCAGAGCTAGCCTTGAAGAAAACTGTTTCCACATCTTAAAGATAACACTTTTTGGTTGGGCATGGTGGTACTCAGGATGCAGGGGCAGGCCATCTCTGAGTTACAGGCAGGATAACAACACACAGAGGCTCTTTCTCAATAACACACTTCTCTGCAAGTCTTGCTCTTGGCTTTCTTTGGTACTTGAAAGCAATGGCTTTAACACACCCTGCCTAATGACCCTGAAGTGTGAGGTGATGGCCCTAACAGGTGTCCAGATTAACACAACCTCACCACCCTGTCATCTCCACTCCCATCCTGTAGCCTCCTAGTGTGCAGGCCCCTCTTGGTCACCATGAGAAGGGGCAAAGTGAAGAATCCCACCTAAGTTTACAGCTCCTTAATGGAACTTAACACATTTTTTCCTCTCCAGCTGGGCTGAAGAATAGCAAGGGAGAAGTCAAAACTTCAACTCTGGTAGCCATTTGGTCACAGGGTGGCTGGGATGATGGCTACCTCTGGGGTGCACCTACCCCATCTGCCAGGCTGCAGTCACTGCAGTGACCCCGAGACCTCAGCTCCTATAGGGCCCACGTTTATGCAGTTAGGTCCAGACTCTGAAAATGTGTGAACTATGACAAAAGGGATCACTGCCATTTTGAACATAAAGCATTTCGAGTCTTATTTTTTAACATGAAGAATGTTGTCTATTTTTTCTAATCTTGAAACAGTAACAATTTTCTACTTTATATGTTGATGAAATACAAAAATATTTAAGCCAGGGAAAAACCCACTATAAAAATGTACTGGCCCAAAACACAACCTCAGTAATTTCACAGAAAAAGTAGATTGTTTCTATTATAACCCAATAAAATAGAGCTGTCCTTCAAAGTCCCAAGTCTCAAAGCAGGACACAATGTCTATGTAGTTTGTGGGCTTTAACATGTGACCAATACCATGTTTCTGTTTTCAAGTGATCAGAAAAACAGGGTAAATGGGTTCCTCTGGTCTTAAAGCTAGAAAACACACACACCAGTATAGACTCTCAATGTGTCAAGTTTACTGTGGCCAAGTAGGTGGACAGAAGCCAGCTCCCTCCTGGAACTTTCCAGCCTGCATGAGCAGTAAATCAGTCAGCTGCTATACAGTCACTGGCTGGACAGGACCGACTGTCCAGGGCCTTGTGTGCCCCCAGGGCTTGCACATCTGTGCCAGGGACAACAATTTGCTTATTGCTTTTGATTGTCTGGCATTTTCTTTATATGTGTAAACATAGTTTCCAAGATATATACATCAGAAATGAGATTTCAAAAACTGGTGGTTATGGGTATGCTTACTGAATTTAGAACTAAAACACCGGGAATCATGACATCACTCGCTGAGTCAACAGGAGTGAGACTGAAGAATCCATCATCCAGCACTTGAAGAATATCATGCCCAGTAAACCACTGGAGAGCATGCAATCAGGGTACCCACACATCTGTTTCATTAAAGCTGCTCAGTGCCTGAGTTCACAAAAGGGATGTCAGTGCTAGGCTATAGAACCGTGGCCCAGGACACAGACAAAAGGCCAGGAAGCAGTGGCATGTAGAATGCTGGGGGCGTAAAAGCCCGCAGTTCAGAGAGGACCCAGTCCTGAAGATGCAAAAAGTCCAGAAGGAGATCGAATGGTACCAGGCCAGGCCATGGCTGAGATCCTTGATGTGTGTGAGAGAGTGCAGCCCACCTGGGTAAGACCAGGAGATCAGGAGAAGCCTGGCATGCAGACAAAGAACCAAAGAGCTGTGGCTGCTGCCCCGAGTTCCTCAGCATGTTCCCAGTTTCCCACGGTAGCAATTGTTTTTATAAACAGGAATGGGAAGAGCACCCTGAAAGGATTACCTTGGGATAGGATTACATGTCCTTGGAACAACTGATGACTAGCCTTCACAGCACTTCCAGTCCTTCAATTCCTACGGCTTCTGACCCTCAGGTGTGGGCCCAGCAGGAGGCTCCCACCACTTTCTCATCAGCCTTCTGCTTCGTTGTCCTAAACTTTTGTCTACATGTGGCTAAGGCCTCTAGCCTCATCACCGGTCACAAGGACACCACCACATAGGTAGGGTGCATCCTGGTGTCATGGAGATGGCTGTCACAGTAGTGGGACATACAGACACCATGTTATCTCCGGGATCTTGGTTGTCACAGTGGTGGGACATACAGACACCATGCTATCTCCGGGATCTTGGAATTGTGCAGTGATGTGGGTACCAGGGTAGACATCTCTCTAGCAGGGCATCTCTCCTAGGGAGCCACTCTATTCTCTTCTGTGAGGACATGCTCAGTACTCTGCTAAAACAATGTGAAGAAATCAACACCCCCATGACCAACAACAACCCCAGGAAGAACTGGTTCCCCTAGTGCATTTGAAACATATCCCTGTAACTTCTGTCATCACACTAGGGGTGAGAATGACCCAATTCTTGTGACATTCTTCCTGGGCACTCAGCATGGGACAGGGATCTGTGGATATAGCGACTCTTTGTAGGGTTCACAGTTTCAGTAGGCTTTCTTGCTTTATTTTTTAAGTGCAGCTATGCTAAGGAATATCTGTCAGGAAAACCAAAGGCACCGAGGTGCTGGTTGTGAAATGGTGGTGAGGAGATGCAGCTCTCACTGTCCTGAGAGCTGCGGGTGAGGTTACTAAGGCCCAGGCTTCCCAGAGGAGACGGGCATGGGCCTGTTTCTATGGCACCTCTGTAAACAGCACCCTTCCTACTCACCTGGAGGAGTTATACTCATCCACCAACCAAAAAGCAAAGAATCCTAGCACCGTGGAGCCCTAGGTACACAGGCTGATTGGTGGAACAGCCTGGCAGAGACAAGGATCCAGGACAGTCACCTAAGACAGGCATCAGACACAGTCAGTCTGACAATACTAGTGGTGCTCTCCTGTATCTAGTGAAGGTGCAAGCTTCCCTAGAGAACTAAACCTCTTACTGCGCACAACTGAACAGCTGTCATTTGGCTTAGCATAAAGATTCTGCACATGGGAATGGGGTAACGGCAGGCCAAAGAGGACAAGGAGAAGGTACCACCTTCCTTAGCATAGCAGACCAGGTGGACTGCTGCTGCTGGCAGGGAAAGGAAGGGTGAGTGACTTCTGCAGTGGGAGAATTATCACTGGAGACTAGCTGCTCAAGGAAGGACCACTAGCTCTTCCTCCAGCACAGCAACTGCAAAGAGCCAAAGCCTCAAGAACATTAGCCTGACTTTCAGCCAGGTGCCTTGTGTCAGGATCTAGGTTCCTTAAACATTTCAGGGTGGGACATGCAGATAGCTACACCTAGATCCTATCTAACCCTAGCGGCTAAAGCCATTTCCAGAGTCATAGCTTTACAAAGAAGACCTACAGGCTTTTGTTACTTTTGGTGGTCTTTGGCCTTAAGAGACATCTACCTAGTCAGATCTCTGCCCCTCCCTCGCCATTATTCTGGACAAACATCTGTCTGGGTCAGCTAAGAGTCATGTGCCAGCTGGTAGAGGGGCAGAAAGCCCTGGATATAGGCTGTGCTGGAGAGTTTCAGTCAGGAGTGGTGGGGTATTCTGTGTAAGTTCAGCTACTTCAAGGGAGTCAAATGTCAACCCAAGTCAACACTGCTGGTGCTTCTCTTTTCAAAGACGCCCACCAGGAACTGGATTATTCTGAACTACACAGCAGCTTCAAAGTTTGCTCAATACCCAAATCAAGAAAATAAGCCTTGACACTGTCCCAGCCCGGGCACAGTACACACATGCTGTGTACAGCCTGGGCACTGTACACGCGTGCTGTCTACAGCCTGGGCACTGTACACGCATGCTGTCTACAATGTCCACAGCCTGGGCATGGTACACGCGTACTGTCCACAGCCTGGGCATGGTACACGCATGCTGGCCACAGCATGAGGAGAGTCCTTCCTCAGCAGCATCACAGGAATGGACTGCTCAAACTGCCACTGTATTGGGACTGAAGAGCTGCTGTGTTTTAGGACAGTGATCTGAGCCACATGGGAATCTGCACACACCAGTTTACAAAAGCAAAAGTCACATTTGAGTATGTTTCTATAAAAAGACAAAGCCATAATCTTAGGTAATTTCAGTCTATCAAGTTTAGCTCTGAAACCTAAAAGGAATTTGAATTCAAACACTGATGAGAGGTTCTCTAAATATTTAAGTATAAATATTGCATATCAAATTAAGTACAGAGTGATTATCAATATACCTGTACGATATATAAGAAGCTGCATTTCTAACTTATAAATGTGATCCATGACATGAAAGAGAGCAGAACACTGCTGTTTGAGCCCTCCATTAGCGACCTTAGAAAACCCTTTGGATAATTATAAACATTGAGACATAAGAGAGGAATAAATTGGTAGAAGATAAAGCAGTAAGAAGCAGACATATCACCATCAAGCAAGATTATCATTTGTCTCTATTCCACTAAACAAAGAATTAGGTATGGCAACACACTGATCTGTTTTCTCAATGTAAATATGTAACTGGTTTTCAAACACAGGAAATGCAGCAAGTTTCAGCACAAACACAGCACAAAGGAATGCAGCCCCTATGAAGGCTGGTGTGGTAGCCTCTTACCTGGACCCTGATCTCTCCATGGCTGCCCATGCCCAGGATGGCCATGTGTGGAGCCTGTCCTGTGGGAGCTGGAGCCCTGTCTCCCCAGCCTCCCTGTGGGAACATGGTCAACACATCAGCACAGGTCACTCATTTCATCTCACACATAACAGTGTACAAATGACACCAGGCCAGCATACCTTCAGTGTGCACACAGCAGCAGAAAGAGACCAAGACTACAGAAAAGGCCTCAGAAGAGGTGCGGCTGCCGGGCGGTGGTGGCGGCGCACGCCTTTAATCCCAGCACTCAGGAGGCAGAGGCAGGCGGATCTCTGTGAGTTCGAGGCTAGTTCCAGGACAGGCACCAAAAACTACAGAGAAACCCTGTCTCAAAAATCCAAAAAAAAGAAGAGGTGCGGCCAATCTGTACTGGAAGCCAAATGGTGGCCTACGATCAGTACTAAGAAATACCTCACCATGTGTCTTTAAAATGTAGAGAGCAAACTACTGCAAAAGCTATTTCCTCCAACGAGGAGGCCCACCTCCTGCCTCTCTTCAGATAACACAACCATATGGATGATTCCCTTGAGCATATTCCTGGGATGTGGTGAGCTCCTCCATGTTTCCCACAAATGCATTAATACATTCTTTTTATACTCTGATGTCTTCCTTGTATCACTAACTCCCACTAACTACGTACTATCTTATACTTTTTAAGGTATCTTTATTTCACATGCTCCACAGAAAGAGAGTTGAGTTCCTACCACAAGTGCCAACCACAGACTCTGGAGTGTGTCTGCTAGGCAGTGTGGCATTTGGCCAGGAACCCCAAGTAAAAGACATGTATGGCAGGCCCTTCAGAGACCAAACTCCTCTTCTGTCTGAAGCCTTGGACAAACAGGGCGAGCGCCCAAGTGATTCACCCACCAGTGAGGGTAAAAGATCAAAAGACAACTTAGTGATGCCTGAGACCTTCCAAGGGAGCAGGCGCTTCCCCCAGGGTCACCTCTCATCTGGGACCCAGGACAACCCCTGGGCTAGCCATCTCCTGATCCTGTTTCCCTTGACTACCAAACTAGCTGCTATCCTAAGAGTGCAGTTCTGATAACAACACTTCAAAACCTTCCAAAGTTCCTCAATTTGTAATGGATACAAACATCAACTCTCTTAAGTTCGGTATTAAGAAGGATTCTATACCCAACTCCTACCGACCTTCCTCCTATTGTAATCACTTGAATCTACAGCCACTCTTCTCCAGACCACTAGGCTTCCTCACTGTGGAACCAGCACCCAGCTTATGGGAATGCCTGTCACTGACACCCTCCCTATAGAGCCCCTTGGTTGACTAGGATCCACTGGCCACTGCTTAACATGATAAAAGCTCTGTGGAAGGGTGAGAATCTTGAACCGTAGCACAGGAAGGCCCTTCAGCAGGGCATCGTCTTTCAAGAGTGGCCAGGTTAGGTCACAGCACCATGAGTTTTTATAGCTCCTGTTGAATGATTTTCTTTTTGAGATTATAATTTAATTGCAACATTTCTCCCCTCCCTCCCACCTGCCCTTTTCTACTCTCCTTTCAAATCAAGACCACTTTTTAAAACCATTCATGACTGCACACATATACGTATATACATACTGAATTTTTCTACTGTCCATTTGTTTTGTGAAAAACTAAACCTCAAGTTTTGTAAGGTAGACACACATTATCCATGCAGCCTTTAATAAAGGGAACTGTGGGAAGCAGATGGTGCGTTAGAGAAAGCTCTTCATTCAATTAACAAACGGGTCCTTCCTGAGATATTCTTCCTGATGGGAACAGAACTTAAGCTATGAGTATAGCCCAGTCATATCCATCTGTCATAATTTTATCATTCTTTTATCAGTAAATCACAAGAGAGCAGGCAAGTCTACCCAGGGCCCCAGCACGTTATGCGACAGGAAGGGGACGCGCCAACCCTGCCCACCTGTGCAGTGAGAGCTCCAGTGTGTTCTCCCTACAATGCGCCGGTTCTCCTTGGAGCAGGCCTTGCAGACCACAGCCTTCAGGTTGTGGAACTTGGTGAGCCACGATCTCTGCAAACAGATCAGATGAAAATGCAGGCTGGCCGCATGCTCCGTGAAAGAGTAGGGTGTGAGGTGGGGGGACGGGGGACCTACTAGTGGTCTCTGTCCCTAGGACGTCAGCCAGCCTAGCTGCATAGTCTCCACCAAGTAGAGGCAGTGACAACTCTTATTAGCATGACCCCAAGAGGGTCTTGATGACTGTTCCCCTCCTGAGACCCCTGGAAACAGCAGCAAACACCTAGGATGACTGTTTCCATCCTGTGTAGACTAAAGAGTGGTGGCTAAAGATCTACTCTTGTGATAATCCAGGAACACGGAGAGGAATGCTGGGGTCACCACGGAGCAGCAGATGGGGGGAGGGTAAACAGCACTGTTCTCATAGCCTCTTGAATTATGAATCAATACTTCACCCTCGATGATTCTTTTAAGTGGGTTTGAGGTGCTCAAGGAGGAATTTTGTATATTTTGAGGTACACAAATAAGGATAATGGGCAGCTGTATCCCAGACCTGCATCTCCTTCAGTCCCTGCTGGAGCAATGTCCAAAGCTGAGAAAGGGTTTCCTTTCTGCCCCTCTAAGTTCTGAACACTCACAAACCCTGCAACACCCTGGAACTCTGGTGAGAAACGGTGACAGCAACACACTGCCAAATGTTTTCCCTTTGGTGTGAAAACTCGGGAGTGTTTTATCTAACAGATCAGCATGTTCTCTCACAACCACGCCGCCTTCTCATCCCTGTGGGTAATAAAACATTCCAAATGAGCTTGGCGGGAGGCCTCATTTGGAAATCTTCCAGGAATCATGAAGCAATTGTACTTAGAAAGCCGGGGCAGCAGTCAGTGTCCCAGGACATGGGCAGTCTTTTGTAGTAGAAGGCTATCTGCCCAGCTAGTCTGCTGTCTGAGGAACCCCAGGGCAGCAGTCAGCAGCCCCAGGACATGGGCAGCCTTTGTAGCAGGACGGTCTGCCCAGCTAGTCTGCTGTCTGGGAGACCTTCTGAAGACACTGCAAGCCCTTTTAGCTCATTCTCCCTACAGAAGCAATTAGCTACATGGACGTCAACCGATGTCGCTAACCCAGGCCACCCTCATGTGTGGACACGAGTTACAGAAACGTAAGCACAGTTCTTGCACCTCTGTGAGGTGATGGGGATGACTCTGGAGAACCTGACCAATGGGATGGGCAGACTTTCCAGGTACACTAGAGTCAATGACTTCACGCCTACTCGTTATTCCAATATACAGTTACCAGAGCTCACATTTTGTTCCAGGAGAACCTCCACAGCATATCCCTTTTCAGACTGCAGGTACTTCTGATGGAAAAGTTTGCCATCAAAGACATTCCAGGGCATGAATTCACTTGTTGTCCAGGGGAAGCCACATGCGCTGTTGACCAGTACCAACATGGTGAGGCCACGGACGAGGAGGGACCCCAGCTGCACAGCTCTGGAGTTAATGTAATCCGGCTGTGGAGACAGACGTGCACAGCAAGCTCAAGACAGACAGCGCCAAGCAGAAGTTAGATGGGTGCAGCAAAATGGTAACTCGAGGGGGTCAGCCCCACGAAGCTGTCTTTAGGACAGGCGCTTGACAAACCCTGAACATGACACTGGCCTCCTGCGTACGTCTGACTGGAAGAGACCTGGCAAACAAGCTGGCCGGAGAAGCAGGATGGGAACCCAGGCCAGTTCACGACCTTGTTCACCTCTACCCACCAGGGCAGCGGTTCTCTCCTTATACAGATTTGGAACATAATCATCCTGCTTGTGGTGGTATGAATTAAAATGGCTCTCATGGGCTCATATGTTTGAATGCTTGGTCCTCAGTTGGTGAAACTGTTTGGAAAGGATTAGGACGTGTGGCTTTGTTGGTGGAGGAGTGGCCTTGGAGGAAGTGTGGACCTGGGAGTGGTACTCTGCAGTTTCAATAGCCTACACCATACCATTCTCAGGTCTCCCCACCTGTTTCTCTGTGTGTGTGTGTGTGTGTGTGTGTGTGTGCACGTGTGTGTGTCCGCCTTGGGTTTGTGCATGCTCTCTCCCAGGTAAACTTGCTTGCTTGGTCACGATGTCTTGTCACAGACAGATCAGGAATTAAGACACAGTTCTAGGAAAATCTGGGCCAACACAAGGGGTGGCCACTAGGTAGAACTTACAAGATAATTTTTGGCTTTGTTCCCCTGAAAAACTTTCTTTAATGGCAAAGGGAGAGCCACTCACCATGTTTTCTAAAAGCCATACTTAATCTCATTTCGAATGAATACCATTTAAGAATAAAATGGCAAATTATGTAATCTTAAAAGGCTGGTGCCTGAGTTTTTATAAATTAAGAATATCTTGCCTCAGCTCTGGCGAACTGGTTTGGCAGTTAAGAGCTGCTCTTCCAGAGGACCTGGGTTTGATTTCGAGCACCCACATAGTGACTGTCTGTAACTCCAGCTCCAGAGGACCCAATGCCTGCTTCTAGCCTCTGCATGTAGAGTACAAGGTACACACGGTGTACAGACATACATGCAGGCAAAATACTCATACACATAAAAGAAAAAAATGTCTTGCTGATACGAACTACTTCTTTTCTTTGTTAAACAGACTTTTATGTTCAGCTTTCTTCTGTTCTTGATGGAGGAGTCACCCTTTATGCTAACAAAGGGCCCCACAGTCCCACAAGAGGCCACGCATTCACCATGGGTCTGGAACGCTGAGCCCACTGCCGGCATCAACACTACAGATGTCTAAGAAACCCCATGGAAACCAGAGCACCAGCAAGCTAATCGCCTTCTTGGAATCACTTTGCTCACACTGACCAATGTTACCTTAAACACTATTACACATCTGACACAGTAAATAAAGCTGAAAAAAGTCAGAGAAAGTGGCAGGTGTTTCAGCCTGTTCTTAGACAGGCCTCACCTACATGAATCTGACTATTGTTTTAGGACCTGAAGCACAAGCACGCTGGCACACGGCTGTAGTGCCAGAGCCTGTTGTCACAAGTTCAGGACCACCCTGCTCTACACAGTGAGTTCCAGGCCAGCAGGGACACCATGTGGAGACCCTGCCTCATTAACTAAAAAGCTGTTTATCATGGGCTTGGGTCACTGCAGATTTAACCTTCACCCTGAAGGGGTTGAACTGCTCCAACTGCTTGTGACTCTGGAAGCTGTCACTCTTTAGAAAGAGACACAGGAATTCTTTGTAGGGTCTGTAGAAGCTCTTCATTAACATGAAATTTCTACGTCTGGTCTGCGGAGTCTCCCATGAGCAGAACTGAATTTAATAAACTACTTCTAAAGTCTGTTAACACAGCCCTTCTTTCACTTACTGTGAGTGAAGTCCTCTGGCCTTCACATGCGGGGCTTTTCTCTCACCTGCTTAATTGAGATTATCATCTTTTTGCAGAGGGGGTTCTCTATGTAGCCCTGGCTGTCCTGGAATTCACTATATAGGTCCTGCCTTTGACTCCCTCCCAGGAGTGGGATTAAAGGCATGCACCACCACATTGAGCAAGACTGCGAATTTGGACCTACAAACCTTACATATGTTTAATTTGTACCTAGGCAATTCAATTTAGTAAAAAAAAATTATGAATGGCACTGTTTTCATAATTCAGTTCCCCTGTGTTCAAAGACAATACGGGGAATATAACTGAACTCTGCATGTGGTTCTTCCATCCTCAAGTTTAACTCTTGCTTGGAGTTTATTGTTTTGCTTTGGTTTTGTAATTCCCTTGAGACTTTCCTTTCGGAGGGCTTCTGGATAAGATGGCAGAACAGAAGCCACATTGGACGGAGGCGCTGATCACCGTTTGGGAATTAAAGGGATATGAATATTTTATCACTCCATCTGCTACTTTTCCAAGTCCTGAAATACATTTGATCAACACCTCAACAAGTCTCCTCTGCCACAGGCCCCATGAATGGATCTGCTGCCGCCACTCAGCAGCCGCCCCTCGCAAAGCTGCTTCCCCCAAGCAAACTGGGCTAAAAGACTCCTGCCAGGAAATCTACAGAACGGCAGTGGCAGGAATTTCACATAGGGGTTCCCAGTGACTGTTCCCAGGTATATACCACCAACACACAAATGAGGGAAGATAAAACTGCCCAGGGAGAGAAACCAGCAGCTCCCGAGGACCCTGTGGGAGGGCAGCAGCCTCAACAGGACTGAGTTTTCCTCAGCTCTCCACAGCCACCAAAACAGCCAGAGCTGAGAGCCGTCGTGGTGGGAGGTGAGACCATTTAAAAGCAACAGGGAACACAACCTACACCAAGACCGAGGAGGCGAAGCCAGAGCAGCGCAGGGAACCACATTCAGGCCCGTGCTCACTTTTTCTTAGATGTTCCCAGCTTTCCGTGCCCACGACAGCCATTTCTCATCTACCCAGTACAGGAGGACACTACAACAGGCCAACGCTGTCACCTGCTGTTCGTATCACACACTCTTACACTCTTCCTTTCTCTTTTCTGACTCCGAGAAATCGATTCCACTTGGTGCTGCATCTTCTGAAGTCCACGAGTGACTTGGTTTAATCACTAAGCATATCTTTGCTTCTTTTTAGTCTACAACTAAACCAAATCCCACATATCCACCTCATTTCCCCTTTGCCTCTACTTCCCACCTAACAACCTAATGCTTATTGCCAGTCTCACAGGGATGGATTGTTTACGTCTTTTCTTCTCTGCACTCACGCTAGCACTGTTAGTGCTCACAGTACTACTGAGGTCCATTTACTTTCTAAATTAATCCTTACTAATAAGTGTCCTGTGGTCACCGGCAACGACATTACTGAAGTACTTTAATTACTGGAGCTGCAGCTGGTACTCGGCCCACAGGGGCAGAGTAGATAGAGCCTGGTGACTGGAACAACAGTCTAGCAGATGGCAACATCAGAACTATATTACAACCCAGTCTCTCATAAACACTGTAAACACATCCACTCACAGAAGAAAGGCAATTAAAAGAACAGCAAATCTTAACCTATATTCTAACCCCTATATTGCAAATCTCAGTGCAAAACATAAGTAACATTAAAAAAAAAACAAGCCAACTTATTTCCTCTAAAAATCACCAACCCCCTTCTAATAACTCCTAACTAGTATTATGTAGATGAAATTCTGGATGTTAGGATTGAAGAGAATGATTATAAATATGGTAACATTATAAGGAGGACCCCACTATTTTCTACAAGAAAACAAACAGGCTGCTGAATGAAATGAGGAAGCCAATTTACAACATAAAAAGAGTAAGGAGATCAACACTGAAGAAAACCTAAACCAAAACAATGATGGAAAGGAAAAGACCAGGGGACAGTTCACCAACAGGATGGATCATGTGGAGGCAGACTATCGGGGTATGCACTCTGTTTTCTGCTGTGAACCTAAGGGTCCTTTCTCCTAAGGGTCCGGTTGTCCCACCCTCCCTCCGTCCCTCCCTCCCTCCCCTCACTCTCTCCATTTCCTCGAGACAGGGTTTCTCTGTATAGCCCTAGCTTTCCTGGAACTCTCTCTGTAGAGGAGACTCTGCTGCCCCTTCTAACCCTTCCTTCTAGCCCCATCCACTCCTCTGTGACACTCACAGACCCATGCCCCCATTTTCTACTAGGGACCCCCCAGTGGCTACACTAGTCTACAACCTAGCAGGCAACTTTTATTGTCATCCGGTCCAGCCTCTCCAGAGTACTCAGTTCTGTTGAAGCTCCCAGCACAAGTCTCTCCTCTCAGCCCACTTCCTGCCCTCTTGGTGTGGACCCAGGGTCCCCTAGTTCTTTCAGCCCATCTCCATTCCTCTGTGACACCCTCTGACCCCAGATGCACTTTCTACCAGTGACCCTAAGGTCACCACACTTGGCACATCCATGCAAAAGAGCATGTTCTGTTGGCTGAGGGGTTTGAAGTGTTTCTCGCTGTTGAATCTTGTCTAGGCTCTGTGAAAACAGAAGCAAGCAGTTGAAAAAAATATTGAAAACATTTCAGATATGAAAGTAGAATTTAACAAAGACAGAATTAGTAAAGAAAAATCAAACTAAAATACAATTGGATGTTGCGGGAGGTCCTTCCTCCCCTCCAACCAATAGCTGCTGTGATACCAGCCCATTGGGGCGTGGTCTCTCTCCCTTTAAAAAAGTGGCTATTTCCTCTGCTCGCTCTCTTCACTTCCTGCTCCTCTGGAGACTAGACTCCCTTCCTGGTTGTGCAGATGGCTGTTGTCTGGGACGGTGATCTGTAAGTTTTCCCCTTTAAATAAATAACACCCTATTAATCATAACTCCAAACTGGTGTGGCCTTGTTCGTGACTTACGCCTTCAATTGGAAGTGAAAAATTTAACAAAAACCGTATAGGTAAGCCTCACTAAAGACATAAAAGAAAGAATTTCAGGTCTTAAAAACAAGGTAGAAGAAATGGATAGCTCAGTCAAATAAAATTCTAAATCTTAAAAAAATAATACAGACACAAACATCCAGGAAATCTGAGACATTATAAATAGACCAAACACACAAATGGTAGATATGAAAGGAGAGAAACCAGGTCAAAGGCACAGAAAATATTTTTAACAAAAATTATATTAGAAAATTTCCCTAATCTAAAGAAAAAGATGCCTATCAAAGGCACACAGAACACCAAGTATATAGGACCAGAAAGGAAAGAAATTCCCCACGACACAGCACGCATGAGACTAAGTGCACACGGCAAAGAAAGGATGTTAAGAGCTGCAAGGGAAAGTCATGATATAAAGGCCAGAAGAGCCTGGGCGGATGTTCTACACACTCCGAGAGACCACAGATGTCAGTCCAGACTGCTATAAAACCAAAATCAAGCAATTTCTATCTACCCGTTTAGGTCTTCAAAAGTACTAAAAGGAAAACCTCCATCTCAAGAGGTTAACTAGCAGAAGGACACAAGAAATCAATAATCCCAGAATAATAAATCAAAAGAGGGATAAAACCACCTACACCATAACAAACTAGCAGAAATCAGCAAACACGGCTCTCTGGTGACTCGCCACAGGAATGGTCTCAGTTCCCCAGTAAGAAGTCACAGACTGACAGACTGGACTAGGAACTGGGATCCATCTTTCTGCTGCAGTCATGAGCACATTTCACCATCAAGGACACACACCACCTTTGGATAAAAGTTTGGAAAAAAGTATTCTAAGTGAATGGACCTAAAAATCAAGCTGTTGTAGCCAATTTAATATCTGACAAAATAAGACTTCAAACCAAAACTAATCAGAAGAGACAGGGAAGGACACTACGTTTGTGTTAATGGAAAACTCCACCATGAGGATGCTACATATCTAAACACTATGCACCAACGCAAGAGCACCCAAGTTCATAAAACAAATATTATTATGGCTAAAGTAACACATTTACCCTCACACAGACAGCGGGTGACTTCAGTGCTGCCCTTTCACCAACAGACAGATCACTAAGAAGAAAATTAAAACCTTTTTAGAATTAAATAAAAAAAACCACAATAATATACCCCAACCCATGGAACTCAATGAAGTTCCAAGAGGAGGCAATCCACAGAACTAAGCGTCTAAGAAAACTGAGTGATCTCAAGTCAGTACTGGACAGACCTTCTGCTCAACAAAGTTTGCCAGCCTTCTCTCAAACACTTCATTCTCCCTAGGCTGTGATATTCTCTACTCCACGTTTTCTGGGTTTGTTGCTGGAGACAAGCCACAGAACCCAGGTCTTTGTACATAAGCAGATGCTATACAGTTTTCAATGATACATAAATCTTCTTCATATTCGTGGAGTTCCTTAGCACTGACCATCATCTGTTCGCATTTCCTCTCTCTAGGGCTTAGAATCAATAGGAAAACCAGTTCTCTTCTTTTTTTTTTTTTTTTGATGGATTCTGGAAAGGACTTACAAATTAGTAAGTATAGCAAAATATAAAGATCACAGGCAAGGAACCGACATAAAAAGAGTAGGGCAGCTCGCTGATAGGTCTCCTGGAGATCCAGAGCTCTAAAAACAAACACACTCAAGTTTCTGCCTCTTCTGCTGCTTCTCTGTCATCCCGTCCTGTGTGGCTCCTTCCGCTTTCACAAGTCAGGGCTCTCACTGTGCAGGGCATTCCTGGGTCTCCAAGAGTCCTGGCTCTGGCTTCACCTATGTATAACTCCCCTTCTTTGATGGGGACTTGCCTACAGAAAGCCATCCCAGCATGAGATCAGGACAGATGGAATTTTTTCCTAAATTAAGAGACAAGTTTTCCAACCAGAGGGTAGAGCCATCAGAAAAGATGAAGTTAAAAAGGAGGATAAGATAAAGGTAAAAACAGAGAGGGGAGGAAGGAGTATTCAAACCCAGCCAACTGCTCGTTCTTCCGTCCATCACGTCTACCCTCAGAGGCTCTGAACTCATCACTTGAGATGCTCCTAAAACTTATCCAAAGTTCAGCTGGGGGCAGGGACTCAAAGAACTCCGGCATGACTGCCATGTTCCTCTTGAGCATGCATTGACTAGCTGTGGCCTGGCTTGGAGATGTACCAGCACAACAGCCTGAGCGGACGCTAGCTGTGTGGGTGCTACAAGCTAACGGTGGCGCGATCGGTAACAGTCACTGCTTAGACGACAGAAAAGCAGAGTTTAGTGACCTTAAGGTTAGTATTAGCCTAGACCCACAGTTCCTCCTGTCCTGCCTCTAAAGTGTTAACATTTTCTCATTGTGGAGTTAGGCCACGACAGATGCAACATTATGTCTACATTTAAGGAGAAAAAGGACAACATGGCTCTGGTTCTATACAGTCATTAAGAAAGTGAAATCTCCAAACACTAATCTACTGTCTGAGCCACAGAGTCTCGCCGTTTCCCAAGTGAGAGGCAACATGAAAAAGGCAGCAGGAACGGCCGGAATCCCTTCACAATCTGTCCACAGAGACAGACAGACAGACAGACAGACAGACGACACAGAAGGGTTGTGAATGGCTCAGAACCATTTACATCTGCGTGTCTGTTCATATACACATACATAGAACAAAGTCTGGAATGACCTGAATCAGCCTACATTTCTGTGAGTACACTTGACACAACATGTGGCCATGTTTGCATCTCTGTCTCAGCAATTTTGTGTAGTGTTGGAGACTCTCATTGGAGAGGGAATGGAGGAGAGAGTCCAGCAATGTGGAACCTGCTGTGTCACAGCTCAGCAAGGGTCACAAGTGACAGATAAGAATCTCTACTCTAGGAGAATCTTCTAAGTTGAGAGACACTGAGTTTGCCAACCAGAAGGCAGAACCAGGAGAAAAGATTAAGCTAAAGAGAGGAAGTACGAAGAAGAAAACAAGAGAGAGGTATCAGGGCTACGTCTAGGGCCACCCCAAAGGCTTCAGATCTAACAAGAGCTCCTGGAATCTCTACAACCCAAGTTATCTAAGTACAGAGGTTCACAAAACTTTTAAAGATTATTAGAGTCTTGAAATCAAGATTACTATTTTGATGACAAAGATGTTAGTAAGAAAATAATTTCAAAATGAACTAGGAACGTGAGGGTACTCTATCCATAACATCTATCGTCCAATGATTACCAGGGTTGATTCAGCTGAGCTGCCTGGCTAGGTGGGTTTCCCTTCTCCTTCACCAAGCCATGAGAGTCCCTCCTGAAGCTATGCTCAGTCTCAGAGAACAACTGACTGAAATATGTCCCCTGCTAGAACCTCCAAACAAAATGATCCAGGATTTACACATGCCCTGCAGACTGCTCCTATATACTTCATGTCACCTCTAATAATCATACCCATGTAATATAAATAATACCTGAAGAGTTGTTATGCTGTGCTGTGGAATATTCCTTTACACCCTGTGAATATATGTCACTGTGATTGGGTTGATAAAGAATTTGACTGACATGTCCAGTATAGATGCAGTTTAAAAAAAAGTATTTTCAATTTATGATTAGTTGGGGAACCTATGGCTACAGAGAGAAGGTAAGTATAGAAATATGTACACAGATCTTTATACATATAGTCTAATCTAAGTTTTAATAAATGTATGCACACTTACTATGTGTTGGGTGAGGATACAGGAAGAGCAGCCTGACTCCACCCTGCTGTGCACACAGGGATATGACAGATGAGCTTGGACCAGGGAAGGCATTGTTTCTCTGAGGCCAAAGAGGATGACAAATGCTTTTCTTCAAACTCAGAAGACCAGGTCAGGCCCTGAAACAACCTGGGGTCCTGAACAAGGATGCAGCAGTTGTCAGGGTCGGAAATGATACCCATCTGGGAGCTGCCGACGGAGGATGACCATGTGTTTCCTTGAGGAAACATGCCTGCCTTGCGCCTCCTATGAAGTGCCAACTACAACATGAAAAGGCTAGAAAGAATGCTGACCCTGTGAGCACAGCGTGGTTGCCGCCATGGCTGTGATGAATGACTATACCTCTAAGTGCATGAGCTGTGAGGATGATTTTCCTTGGAGGCACAAGGCCTGAGCGATAAATGCATGCAGATCTTCCAGGGAAAGAGTGTCCACCTGAAAAGCACAGAAAAGGGCCAGTGTGAGCCTCCATTTGTTATAAATGTACAACACACATACACACACACACACAGAGAGGTGCACACACAAACACAGAGAGAGAGAGGTGCACACACAAACACAGAGAGAGAGAGGTGCACACACAAACACAGAGAGAGAGAGGTGCACACACAAACAGAGAGAGAGGTGCACACACAGAGGTGAAACACAGAGAGAGGTGCACACACAGAGAGAGGTGCACACACAGAGAGAGGTGCACACACAAACACAGAGAGAGGTGCACACACAAACACAGAGAGAGGTGCACACACAGAGAGAGGTGCACACACAGAGAGAGGTGCACATACAAACAGAGAGGGGTGCACACACACGCACAGCCTTTACTCTCATCATCCACAACTCTATGACACAAAGCTCTCCACAGGGTAATAGTGCAATCCCTTCTGCATAAAAAGTCAAAAACGGATGACTCAGAGGCTGAGGTGGGGTGGCCAGGACTGGGGGAGCAGCCAACTTCAACAATCCTGATGTCACCATTGTTCTTGGATCCCAGCTACATAAATAAGGGACCCAGAGGATAAGGCCCCTCTGTTCTCTGGAATCAAAAAGTGGGAGAAAAACAAAGGGAGACAGAGAACTGAGAGAAAGACAGACAGGGAAGGATTAATGTAGCTTTTAAAATAAGTTATGTGACCCAAAGACATGGTGTCTCTGCCTACTAGATCTCACACACTCCTGAGGCTGACGCTGTCTGAGCTGAGCCACTAAGACAGTAAATCTTCAATGCCATCTCTACTGGACTCCATTATCGCCATAGAAGCACACTCCCTCTAGGGAGGCTGCCTTGGAGAAAGGACCCGTGATGAATGTGGGTGGTGCCATCCCATGGGTGGAGGTCTTGGACTGATAAAGAATGAGCTGAGCAGGCTGGCAGTGCTCTGGAGGCAGAGGCAGGCAGATCGCTGAGAGTTCAAAGTCAGCCTGTCTATAGCATGAATCCCAGGATAGCCAAGGTGACACAGAGAAACCCTGTGTCAGCGTTTGCTTTTCTTTGCTTCCTGACAATGAAAGCAATGTGCCTTCCCGCCATGATGAGCTGTGAACAAACCCTTCCTCACTTAGGTCTTCTGTCAGGCATTTGACACAGCAACGAGAAAAGCAACTAATAAAACTGTCAGCTCTCTAGGGCTGTGATAAAACAGAGTGGCCACAACAGCTTAAACTTCCAAATCATAGCGCATCAAAGGAACTGAAGCAGAAGCCATGGGAGGAGCTGCTTATTAGCCTGCTTCCTAAGGCTTGCTCTGCAGGCTTTCACAAAGAACCCACAAACACCAACCCAGGGATGGCATCACCATCAGGGAGCTGGACCCTCCCACAATCATCAGTCAACAGCAGGTCCCCCAGGCTTGCCCACAGGTCAATTTAGTGGGGGCATTTTCTCAGTCAAGGTTCCCTCTTCCCAAAAGACTCTAGCTTGTGTTAAATTCACATAAAAGTAGGTAGCACAATAATCACACTTGTCAACTACTTATGAAGTAATTCTACTCTTACATAAGAGCTCTTTTTGTGGCAGCAAAAACTATGGGGAAAGAAACAGGACAATGACAAATCCATCGGAGAAATTTAACCAAGAGCACCTGGAAAATAAAATTCTTGTATACCTCTTTCAGATAAAATGGTCCCCCAAAACCAGAAAGAACACAGGCTTTATGCCAACCTAACCCTGAAACTCTCCTGGAAAGACGCGGTCCAGCACTTGACCTAGGCACACACTACCAGTCAAGTGAAGATACATGGACACGCTGGTAACTACCCTCTTCCATGTCTATTCCAAAAGAGGCACCACCATTATACAAATGAAAGCAAAATCCTGCAAATGTAGGATCTGTGACAAAGTCAGGCACACATACAGATTTTAAAATCTGGAAACAGCGATCTCTGCTCAGACTGAGACTCATTACCATTTAATTCTATCCACAATTCATCAGGTTTGTGGAGGCTGTTCTTAAAACACACGCCTAGCCGGGCGGCGGTGGCGCACGCCTTTAATCCCAGCACTTGGAGGGCAGAGGCAGGCGGATCTCTGTGAGTTTGAGGGTCAGTCTGATCTACAGAGTGAGTTCTAGGACAGGCTCCAAAGCTACAGAGGAATCCTGTCTTGAAAAAACAAAACCAACCAACCAAACAAACTGAAACACACTTAGGGGACGGTCTAACTCTCAAGTGTCTTTCTCACAGGTAACTAAGCATGACTGACAATTTGATGGGGTTTAGAATTCCCTGTGAAAAGAGGCCTCTGGTGTGCCTGTGGGGGAGTTTCCAGTCTGGGTTAACTGACTGGAAAGAACAGCAAATGGGGGTGGAGATCCCAGGCTGAACAACAAGAGAAAGCTGGGCACCAGCACTTATCCTGCTGGGCGGAACCCAAACAACTGTCTTGTGCCCCTGCCACCGTGAGCTCCCTCAGGACAGACTGTTCCCTCAAACTGGGAGCCAAACAGCTCTTCCTTAAGTCTCTGTGGCCAGGAATTTTATTGTAGCAATAACCAAAGTAACTATTATAAATGTTTTTCCAAGATTTCCTCAAATCAGACTTAAGTCTTGTTAAATAGATTGGAGTAAATCAAACTAGTTTCAACTCAATTTTCATATAATGAATGATATGCAATTTTACTCCACGCTGCAACCAAAAAGGGCTAATTCAGGAGACCGGGCTCAGTGGTTAAGGGCATCTGCATTTGTTGCTCTTGCAAAGGATCGGGACTCTGTTCCCAGTACTCACATGGTGGCTCACACCCACCCATATCTCCAGGTCCAGGGGAATGCATGGATCTCTTCCGATCTCCATGGGCACCAGGCATAGAAGATGGCACACATGCACACATGGAATGGGTGGAACCAGACACTCATACACATAAAATGAAATAAATATTTTTAAAAAGTTAATTTAAGATCAACTACATAAAACCATATTTTATGATATATCTATCCTTCTAGGTCTACCGAAGTATTCTGAGAGGACAGCCAATCCTGAGAATAAATACACACCACCACTGACTTGCTGACACACTAACTTTCTGACTTAACCTCTTAACCTGAAGGATTACTTGTGCTCTGTGGAAAGAGGTCATGGGAACTGGCCCACAGAAAGACTCACAGCGCTCCAGGAAGGTGAGGCCAGACCGTGTGGCAGCTGGAGCACCTATATATTTATTATATATGAGAACCGTGAGCTCAGAGTTTACCTGGACGAAGATGTAGATTAGGAGGCAGCACAGTGCTCTCAATGGGCTCTCAACCGCCTGCAGGTCTTCTCTGGAGGAGGAGAGGTTGAAGCAGGCTAGCAACGTGTCCAGCCGCCGGGCCTGCACTGCTGGCTCTTGGCTCAGCCACAGAACTTCCAAACTAGGTTTTCGCCCTAAAAAAGACATTCATATAGCATGGTCCCGACAGGCTTCTGGAAGTACAATGAAGAATGATTCATCTCTCCCCTATCTGATTTACGTGGGGCATCAAGGCTTAACTTAATAGAACCAGAGAGCAAATGTGGGTACAGCTTCCTGGTTTCAAAGAAAACAAACCCACAGACAGGGCAGGCGCATACTCGCTGACCTACCCTTTCTAGGACGTAGGTTTGTAGGGAAAGGGGCTTTCACTTACATCCATGCTGGTTTCCATTCAGGGATCTAGTACAGGACGGCAGGCTCTGAGGAACGCCATCTGCCCACCCCTTCAGTTGGCTCTAACCCCTCCAAATTGGTGTTTTTTAACTTTTATGTACCAATGAATCAGTTGCAGAGACTTAGTTGTGCATTTTCTGAGATACACACAGACCTGCTGAGCATGAGATCTGTGGATACAAACCGAGCACAAATCCCTAAAAGGTAATTTTTCGGGGTCCATTTCTATACTATGCAGATACAAAGAAACAATTCCAAGGGTGGGGGGAGGGGTTCTTACTTGTTAAACTTGACAAGGACAGATGCTGTGAATACAGGCGACAAACAGTGAGTCTACACAAATACGGAGGTGCTGGTCTAACAACCTCGGTGGCAGCACCTCTCCCGCAGCTGTGGCTCTCTGCTGGGCACTGACAGAAAACCTGTGCCAAAACTCCAGAGTAACTAGGGTCGAATGTCTCCCATGTTCACCATGAGAACAGAGCAGCTAACCAAATGGTATCAGAAGCCAGTGATTCCAAGGGAATTCTTTGTTTCAAACACGACCATTCACTCTTCCCAGTAGTGAATTTCCCACCATCAGGAGCCAAACAAGGCAGCAAATCACTTGCAGTGCTGAAAAGGCTAAAGTGTTTCATTTACCAAAAGCATTTTTTGTTAATATTTTCTTTGGGAGAAAGAAAATGTAATTGTCACCCAAGAGACTGGTACTAAGAGATCACACTCCAAGGTCACGAAGGGTATCTGAGAATCTGTTGGACATGACTCCCAGCATTTATGAGGGCTGCTGCTGTGAACCTCTGGACTAAGAACCACTTTGTTTTAAATGGTTGAGAGAAAAAGAATACTTCCTAGCACAAGCAAATATAGAAAACCCCAGCATCAATTCAAAGTTCATCGGTTTCAGTGGGAATTCGCTGTGCTCACCTGTGCACATGCTGTCTGTGACTTCTTCCAGTTCGATGACACAAACTCTTACAAGTAAGAGAGAGTCACGGGGCCTACAAAGCCGACCACGTTTACTATGAGACATTAGATGTAAAAGGCTTGCTAACCTCTGATATAAAGGAAATAATGAATGTCTACCACTATAGTTATTCCAAAAGTATTTAGAAAAGCTTTTTCACTATAAAAGTCAGATGTTGCAAATTTTTAAGAAATAAAAAATGTAAGAAAAGCAAAATACCCTACATTCTCCCATGCAGACATTCTATAATTTTAAAACACAGAGATAAGACGGTACGAAGACTGTCCCCTCCACCACAGTGAGTGAAGGGTGAAGTTCCCTAGCTGCTCCAGACAGTAAAGACCATTTCTTCAAGAATATGATACTTCTGGATAAAGAAAAACTTAATGTTAAAAAAAAATTGGAGATTTGCAAAATATATCCAGAATCATAGACACAAGTGGTGACCGAGGGACTCCCTGACTGAACAAGTAGTGACATTTCTCACGCGTGGCCTTCATTTGTTCAGAGACTCAACTCTAAGAGATAGCTTTAGACAGTGAGGTGAAGATTTGAAGCATCTGTTCCACAAAGGAGAGAGTCCTGGGGGCACCCTGTGGGAGAGAGCTGACCAGCATCTATGTCTAATCCTCAGCTACCAACGGCAGTCAACACAGGTCAACAATCGCTCTTTTCATTCCTTGTCAGAGGTTTCTGATCACCCCAGTACTGATGTCTATAATCCAGGTCAGTTTATACGGAGCAGACCCACGTAAAAGATGGCCAACTACGGCCCTGGAAGAACTTGCAGTAAAAAGACTATGCATCAAGTGTAGTGGCGCACACCTTTAATCCCAGCACTTGGGAGGCAGAGTCAGGTACACCTCTGTGAGTTCAAGGTTAGCTTGGTCTACTTAGAGAGATCCTGTCTCAAGAAAAGAAAAAGATCATGCCAGCAAACTGAGATTTAAGAGTGCAAAGACTAAGAGCTGGTATTTAGCTTTCTAGCAGATAGACGCCTAGCATGCAGAAGTCCCTGGGTTTAAATCCCAGCTCTGTAAAAGAAATGTAAAGATTTTACCACAAGATTACTGAAGGTCAAATGGAAAAACAAGAGAACCTAGGAAGGGGTTCTAAGAGGTTTTCATGAAGAAGGGACAGGCGCACACGTGGCTGCTGGGATTAAAGACCTGTATTTGTTTATAGCCAAGTCATTTTAGTTTACAAATTAAGTAAGATATTTACCTCTGTAGGGCAAGTTCTGGCCCCAGGAAATAACCCAGTATCTTTTTATCTCTCCCTGTGAGCTAAGTAGGCCTGCAGACCTGCAGGCCCCAGGCCCCAGAAGTAATTAGCATGTCCCCTTAGTAAACATCTACAGACCCTCAGTATTTCCTTATCTCTTCCTATCAGCTAGGGCTGTCTCCAGACTTGATACTCCAGTTAGAACAATGGCATAGCATCCGACCCTCCCCTGCTGCCTGTTTGCTATATAATGCTCCTGAGAAAAAATAAAGTTGGCAGCTTGATCAGAATACAGACTTGCTGTCCATTCCTCCCCTTCAGGGCCCGGGCTCCCGTTTGTGTCCTGCTGGGTGGGACATGTGGCCTGAATGCTGTTGGAAGAATGCTTCTGGAGCTGCAAGCAGGCAGCAACGAGTACATGCCAAGCTCCTCTTCCTTTCTCATCTTCCCATCCAACCAAGTATCAAGATCAGTCCAGCTAAGAGTCCACCGACAGATGGTGAGATTTCACCTGGTGTTCCCTTTATTTACACAGAAAAGCCTAACACCACATTAGCTGCCTGACAGGCAACTGAAAGAAAAGGGTTATTTCAGCTCACAGTTTCAGAGGATTTCAGAACATCACAATCATGATGGCAGCAGGAGCGGCAGCTACTCACACTGCTACCCATGAGTTGTAGATGCAGGTTATAATCTGAAGCAGGTGAGGCCCACTTTTAGTGACCCACTGCTCCAGGCAGATGTAGGTACCTTCTAAAGTATCCACAGCACCACTATCCCAGGACCAACTGTTGAAAATATGAATGAGCCTGTGGGGCAGTTCAGAGTTAAGTGGAGAATCTTCTGCATGACATCGGCTTCTGAATAATGTAGCACTATGGTGGGTACCAAAGGCCCAACTGGGAACAAGACAGGCCCAGCTCCCTGCAGCAGTGACTAACCAAATGATGACATGAACAGAGCTACAACAGAGCTCCGTGAAGAAGTCAGACGTGAGTGAAGACTGAAGAAATGATCAGCTAGTGTGGAGAGACACTCAGAGATGGGAAAGAAAGTGCAAGTGGGCACGAAGGGAAGCTGTGACCACATGCATGACAGAGGACCCGGCTGAAATGGGAGCTGACGGGAAACATCAAAGGGGAATGGGGTGGGCAGGCCAATCCTAAGAGAAGCTGAGTGGTAGTCCCTACACCAGAAAACAGGGGCGTCCATTGCAAAGAGTGAGTCTGAAGTGGGGCCTCACAGGCACCAGCACAGACCCAGAACTGTGGGCAGCAGTGCACGGGAATGGACTGCTTCTCTGGCTCCTAGTCCTCCAATGCTGTGGACACAGGGTGACAGTCGGACACAGTGGTGACAGAGGGACACAGGGTGACAGAGGGACACAGGGGTGACAGAGGGACACAGGGGTGACAGAGGGACACAGGGTGACAGAGGGACACAGGGGTGACAGAGGGACACAGGGGTGACAGAGGGACACAGGGGGACAGAGGGACACAGGGGTGACAGAGGGACACAGGGGTGACAGAGGGACACAGGGGTGACAGTCGGACACAGGGGTGACAGTCGGACACAGGGGTGACAGCTGGACACAGGGGCGACAGATGGACACAGTGGTGACAGTTTTATTACCATCAGTTAATAAAGAAGCTGTTTTGGCCAATTTTAGGAGAGTAAATCCAGGTAGGAAATCTGAACAGAGATAGAGTAGGTAGAGTCAAGTAGGCGCCATGAACATTTACTGGTAAGCCACAGCCTTGTGGTGATACACAGATTAGTAGAAATGGGTTAATTTAAGATGTAAGAGTTAGTTAATAAGAAGCCTGAGCTAATAGGCAAAACAGTGTTGTAATTAATAAAGTTTTTGTGACATTATTCGGATCTGGGTGGCTGGGAAATGCACAAGCAGTCTCTGCCTACATAACGTGATCTGTTCAGGATATCAACTAGCATAAGAAAGAACTATATATACTATATACACTCTCATGTGCACACAGACATGCACATGCGGGCACAGTCACAAATGCACAGACACATGCATGCACACGCGCGCGCACACACACACTTTCATTCACATGCACTCAGACTCATTCACACTGTGACACACATAAGCATGCACACTCTCAGATAATCATTCTCTCTCAATTCACACATCTGCACATAGTCTCATCTAGACTCTGAGACTCCTAAATTTCCTGTGCAAGAAATGGGAGCTGAGGTGTTTACAGCCAGAATTCAGAGGCCAGAGTATACACTGTGATCTCCAGGCCTCTGCGAGAGAACATCAGCTCAAAACCTAATCACAAATGTGGTAAAAGTCTATGTGCACAGGTAGACAGCCCTACATCCTTTAGGAAGGATGGAGCCCCAGAAGCCAAGCCAGGGGCGGATGCTTCTGAAACCTGCAAGACACATCTGGGGGTCTACAGTGGGGTTCCCCAGATAAGTACGAGCAATGCTGAGCTTGTGTTTTCACAGCTATAAACACCAATGAACGCACAAGATGCGATGGTAAACATGGAAGGTGTGAAGCCGGCACCTGTGTGTGCTCTTCATATGAAAATCTCCTTATCTATTTCTAAAGTGAGAAATGTAACTAAAGTTAAACAAACAAAAACCTCCAGCAAACAGAACTGTCTGGCTTGTGTCTGCTCAGGATAAGAAACGTGAAGCTAACAGATAAAGAAAAAACAATAAACAAAACCCCTGAATGCTCACATACAAGTGACTCTCATCTGAATATATTTCAATTGGCTATTTCTCATAATAGAAACATCTTCATATATAAATGAAGCAGATTCTACCCACAGCTGGCTAAGCTATCCACGTTCATGTCTGCTTGCTACCCTGCTTCTATCTGGTGAACTCAAAACAGTCACAATGGCTACTAAGAGGTGCCGTGTGAATGGCAACCGCTACCTTATAATACATGCCTATGATACTTCATGGTTTCAAACTGTTTTTAAAGGTAGTCCACAAGCTGCAGGGGCAGGTGACTTCCCACGCGGTCACATACATTCAGGACACAGAAATCCTTCCTGACCTAGGTATATCGTGTCAGGGCAGGAGGAGCTAAAACAAGAGATCAGAATCAGAAAGAGTCAAATACAGCTCTTTCATGAGAGTCTTCAGAGATGCTCTGCTGTGAGCCCATGGTAAGTCAGATGTCCTTGTTTTCTTATGTGCTGAACAACACTGACAGTTATTCAATAGAGCCAACCAACAAAACAAGTGTACTCAGTCAGCTTCTCTGGACTTCTGAGATAAAGGTTAAAATGACTCAAAACATCACTGAGAAGAAATCACCTATTTTCACCTAAAGACTGGCATGGTTATTTCAGACTCAACCCTCGGGATACAAGACTATAAATGAGAGGAGAGTATGGCAGCTCGTGGAGGAGTATATTCACTCCTTGAGCCGGGGAATGACAGTAAATCCCTTCCTGTGCTACAGAAAACCACCTTTCACAATGCATTACCGAGTGGAATACTGTGTGTGCGCGCACACACACACACACACACACACACACACACACACACGGGAATACGGGGAATATGCTCTCTGAATACAGCAGACCAGTGCCTCTGACCACTTGAGCTGCTATAACAAAACACCACACACTGGGCTATAGCAGCAAAACTGTTCCTCAAGAGTCTGGAAGCCTTAGACCAGTGTCTAGGGAAGGCACATTTTCTGGTGCACAGACACTGTGTCCTCAGGAGGGAAAGAGCAAGAGAATGCCCTGCCTGTCCCTTTATAAGGGCACAGCTCCCACCTGATCATCAGCCACTTCCTCAAGGTCCCCACCTGTCTAAAACCACCACATTTCTGCTCGGTTTCAATACGTAAATGTGGAGGACATATTTACTTCTTTTTCTGTTTCCTTGCTGACTAACTTTTAATTCCTTCCCCTTCCTTTTTTCTCCCCTCCCTCCTTTCTGAGCTACCTCCTGTTTACTCCTCTTTGAGACAGTGTCTCACTGTGCACCCCTCCTCCCCTGGACCCTTGCTGAGGATATAGCATATGCCACTACATCCAACTCCCCTTACAAATTTTAAAGGAATCTCTTTTTATTTTTTTCCTGCAACTCTCTACCTCCCCATACTTTGTTGGAAATATCTAATTTCCTTTTTATTCTACTAGCCAAGCAAGCAAACATCACCACATGTACTGTAAGAGGGAACGGCCTTTAGCGAACTACAGAAACGATCCCTGGAAGTGTAGTCTTCAGAGAAAAGAACAGAGAAGGCTCGCTAAAGAGTGGGGTACTGTGAGGAACCAATGCAAGCTACCTCTAAAGAAAAAACTAAAATCTGGGATGAGGACACAACACTCAGGGCTGCAACAAAGTCCCCGTGAGTCCTTCCTGATGACCAGGAGGAGACGGTGGACAGGACCTCACTGTATCACAGGCTTTGTAGGTGAGAATGCTTCCAAAGGCACATCCCAGGTTCCCACCTCCTAAGTTCCCCATAGTACCATCAAATTTTGACTCCATCAATGGATTGAGCCATTGATTAGGTTAGGGCCTTCATGATCCAGTCACAAAAAGCCTATCAGGTGCCTGGAGATAGGGCTAAGTAGGTGAAACACCTACAGAAGCATGAGGACCTGATTTTGGTCCTCTAGAACACACGAACACACACACACACACACACACACACACACACACACACACACAGAGCCAGGGGTGATGTCATGCGTCTGCAATCCCAGGGCTGGGGAGGTGGAACCAGAGCAGGCTCTGTGGCTCACTGATCAGTAAGTCTAGCCAAATCAATGAGTTCCAAGTTCAGTGAGAGACTGACTACCTCTAAAAAATAGAACCAAGCTGGGCAGTGGTGGTACACGCCTTTTATCCCTTTTATCGGAAGGCAGAAGCAGGTGGATCTCTGTGAGTTCCAGGCCAGTCTGGTCTAAAAACAAAATCAAAGTGGACTGAAAGATCCTTAATGGGGACCTATACTCCCAAAGCCTATCAGTTATGAGCTCTTTATCCCTGGAGTCTTTGGGGTATAGGAATTGAAATCTGTATCAGTTAACATGTAATTCTACAAACAGACATCCACAGAGTGTGTTCTTTCTTGAGCTGACACCCTAAGATGGACAGCTGAAGGCTGCACTGTTGTGGAATAGAACATCTGTCTAACTATCTAAACATGGATGCATTTGTGTATGTTGTATTTACTTAGTTGTGTAAAGATGTGTTGCTTTTGTTTTATGCTGCATTTGTTTAAGTACTATGTAAAGATGTGTTGCTGTTTTGCCTTGCCTGCCTAAGGTACCTGATTGGTCAAAGAAAAAGTTGAGTGGCCAATAGCTATACAGAGGAGGAATAGGCAGGTTTAGTGGGCAGAGAGAAACTGGGAGCTGGCCAATCAGTCAGAGGCCAGCCAATGGGGGCTAGCCAGCCAAGGACCAGCCAGTGGGGGAGCAGCCAGCAGGGGCCAGCCAGCCCAGTCAGGCCAGGGGATAGCCAGCCAGGCATGGAGGAAGCAGGAAAGCAGGACATACTGAATGAAAGAAAGGTTAAAACCCTCAAAGCAAAACATAAAGAGAAACAGATTAAACCAAGTTGTAAGAGCTAGTGGGACAAGCCTAAGGTGAGGCCAAGCTTTCACAATGAATAAGAAGTCTCTGTGTCTTTATTTGGGAGCTGCTTGGTCTCCCACAGAAAATGCCAGCTGTGCCGTACATACCTTGGACAGTCACCTGCAGAGGCCGAACAAGGTCTGGGTGCTTCAGGGAGTTCCCAGGGTACACAAACCACTCTTTGACCACTGGGCCGCTGCGGGCTCCATCTGAGTAAAGACAAGGGGTCAGTGGTGCAGGAGGACAGCAAAGCCCCTGCATGCCCATCTGCCTCATGAATGTCTCCTTTCACCCCGCCCCCACGAAAGTGATGATGTCACCAACAGCTATGTTCCTCCAGTCTAACACGGCCCATTTCTTTCATACCGCTTTGCTAAAAAGCAGAAAACAATAAAACCAGAAAAACCTGAGCCAACTGAAAGTTTACAATAATTACTCGCCAAACATGCAGAACTTTTGTTTTTGAAAAGTCTAATGTAAGTTTTGAAAGTGATTTCAAATACTGAGTTCAAGACCAGGAGTGGGCTGGAAAGATGGGTTGGTGGTTAAAAGCACTTGTTCTGCCGGGCAGTGGAGGTGCATGCCTTTAATCCCAGCACTGAGGAAGCAGAGGCAGGTGGATCTCTGTGAGTTCAAGGCCAGCCTGGTCTACAGAATGAGTTCCAGGACAGACTTTAAAGCTACAGAGAAACTCTGTCTCAAAAAACAAACAAAAAAAAGCACTTGTTCTTACAGAGAACTTGGGTTCAATTCCCAGCACTCACATGGCCACTCTCAAACACCTATGACTCCATTTTCAGGGTATCCAACCCCTCTTCTGACCTCCACAGACAGACACCAGGCATATACATGGTGCAAAGATCATACATACAAATATATCTTTGATACATAAAAAAAAAAATAGAGACCAAAAAGGACTCTTCTAACGCAGCAGCTCTTACTAAACATTTTCACAACAGCAGAAGTAGAGGGGGAGCAAAGTGGGAAGGCAGAGTAGGAAGTGCCACACACCACCCTGGGGACTGCCCCACCCACAGTCAACAGGCCTTCCTACATCAGCCGAAGTCATTACAAACGGTCCTCACAGGCATGGTCAGAGTCCTGCCTCCCAGGTGGCTGCAGATTCTGTTGACAATGAACACTAAGTACAAACAAAGCAAAACCAGTCTATACTTCCTGGGGAAGCTCCCCCTGGGACAGCCAGACACCCTAGTGTTCCCAGGAGGCCAGGATTCAAAGGTACTCATGAAGGGTGATAAACACCCCACATAAACTCAGTGTGTGTGGCTGCAGATCCTCTGGCCAAAGGCTGGGAAAGTGTAAGCTGGGCTCTAGTGCTGGCCCCATCCTCCAATCTGCATGCTACATGGATGGGCTCTTCCAGACAGGCAAGCTAATGTGGCCATTGACGCTCACCTACTGATACTAAGAATCCAAATCTCCCACCTGAGCAAGCAATTCAATCATTATGGCTACTTCCTCTAAGAAATGCTAGGAAATGCCAACATTCCAGGAAAGATAAACATACATTCAAAGATACACAGTTACCACCGGATTCACACCAGTGCAGAACAAGTCACTCAGACACTGCTTTGGCCCAGGTAAGGTAGTTTAGAATGAAAATCTGACACTTATACTTAATACTAGCATTAGTGCCCTGGTTTCCATGTTAGCCTAAAGTCACAGATAATGCCATCTTTGGGGGATGCTGGGTGAAGGTTACAGAAATTTTTTGCTGCACCATTATATGAATCTGCATTTCAAATTCAGCAGTACTAGAACATATACAGAAGCCATAAACAATAGCAAAAGTACCGAGTAATGAAAAGCTTTTAGGCTACACAAAAAAAAATGGCCTGGTATTACCTTTAGCTGAAGGTAAAACTGTGCTGGGAAAGACGAACAATACACACACAGAAGGTGGGGGGCTGGGGAGGTGGCTCAGTGGTTAGAACACTGGCTGCCCTTCCAGAGCACCCAGTTTTGATTCCCAGCCCCCACATGGCTGCTCACAACTGTCTGTAAATCCAGTTCAAGAGGATCCAATGCCCTTATCGCCCTCCACAGCCCCCAGGCACATATGTAATGCATATAAAACACCCATATACATTTTTAAAAAGGAGGGGGAGTCCTAAAATTCCAAAAGTATACTGTAAAATAATAAAGTTACTAACAAGTACATTAAATGCAATTAGCCAAAAACATTTCAATTAAAAAGAGAGGTATTAGGTCAGGAGAAATGGTGGCACATACTTGCCATCCCAGAACTGGTGTGTTGTAGATTAAACCCTCTGTACACTGTGAATATATACCACTCTTACTGGCTAACAAAGAACTGACTGGCTGAAAGCCAGGCAGGAAGTGTAGGCGGGACAGTCAAATTGAGAATGCTGGGAGGAAGAGGGTGGAGTCAGTGGAGATGCCAGGAGACAAAGAGGAAGCAAGACATGCTGGAGGACGGGTAAAGCCAGGAGCCACAGGGCAATACACAGATTAATAGAAAAGGGTTAACTTAAGTTGTAAGAGCTAGTTAGTAATAAGCCTGAGCTATTGACCAAGCATTTATAATTGGTTATTCAGGAACAGGTGTTTGGGACAGGAAAACTTCACCTATATTGGTGAAGTTTGAAGGCCTGGAATTTGAAGACTCTGAAACACACAAAGTGGTATTAATCTACCTAACACATTTCTCCCTTACAACTCCTCGTTCATACAACCACCATATTCTCTTCCTGGGAACACATGGCTCTGCTTCCCTGTGTAAGGCATCTGAATGGCTTCCACAGCCTTCACCATGACACTTCTGGTCCTCCTAGGAACTCTTGAATTGTCTTTGTTTTTGTATACCATTTTGCTTTCACAGAAACTGCTATACTCCTCTACCCCGAAAAGAACATTGACTTTTCAATGTGATACTTGTACCCCATCTTTAAATTATGTCAGGTTTATTTTCTTGAAGAAATAATAACAATACTGTTATCTGGAAATAATGGTGTTCAGAGAAATAGACACAGACACCCTTTTGTGAGTTACAACAACCCTACTGTTTAAGGTCTTCTCATTTTTACTGCTCTGGTCATCCATGGTCCCTAGCTACTCACTCTTTCTGCTATGTTCACAACATAAAACACTTTAGAAAAAATGTAAACATATTAGAAAATGCTAAAGGACATCTGTTTATATTTTTAAAAATATTAAATTTTATATAATCGTTTTATGAAAATCTTATTTGCAGGGTATATAGATAGTACCAAAAAAAACCACACCACATAGCAGGAAAGGGTTTTCATTTTGTCAAAAGCACAAATCCTTCTAAGATATATGACATTTCATAGTGACAGTGCAATTCTCACTAATGACTGTGCTAATTGGATAGTAATGTATTGTAGCATTAATCTTTAACAGCATTCTCAAGTACACATTTTACAGACAAAAAAAACCTGTTGCCGGCTTGTCCTTTGAGAACTCTGTTGTACGAGGAGCGGGCTGCTTGTTCTTCCCGGCCACCTGGCTATCTTAATCCCAAAATAATCAGACAGACATTGTATTAATTAAATACTGATTGGCCCATAAGCTCTAGCCTCTTATTGGCTAACTCTCACATATTGATTCAACCCATTTCTAATAATCTGTATTGCCATTTGACTGTGGCTTACCGGCGTGAGTCTAACCAGTGTCCCTCTCGGGCAGGAGAATCATGGTGTCTGCCAAGCTGCCCTTCTTCCCAGCATTCTGTTCTGTATCTAAGTCTGCCCTATCAAAAGGCCAAGGCAGTTTCTTTATTCAACCAATCAAAGCAACACAAATACAGAAGGACCTCCTACTCCAGAACACGGGCCCAGCTGGCGCTCACCTTTCCAGTCCCCAAGCAGAAGTGCGTACACTCGCTGCCGGACGGGGCGGTAGATGAAGGCTTGGCTGGGCAGGGCTTGGTCCAGCTCGTCCTCCAGGGTGTTGCTGCACTCGATCTCCCCGGTGCTCATAATGTTGTACACAAGGTAGCTCTCTGAGTGGACGTGGTGCATCCTGGCAACCTGCTCAAGATTAAACAAACAAACCTTCAAACAGAAACAGTCCATACCAGTAATCAGTTTATCTAAGCTATTCAAGTGAGGAATTGTCGTTCAAACACATGACATCCAGGGGTATTTATGTTTTCTCTCTTTTGTACTAACAAATCCAAAAGTTTATTTGTTACCCTTCTCCTGTGGCCTCCAATCTACCAATCTTACACTTACTGTATTATTATTGTGTCTACTTGAGGTGTCCCCATAAACATGCTCACTTTTCTGTTAGGGTTGTGAGGATGAGCAGTTTCTCCTCTTACCAGCTCCTCATTCAGATGGCCACCATGTTGTCTTCTTCCCTGTGTAATGGCTACCACACCTTCCCCATGACACGCCTGGTCCTTTATCTCTGTGTACACCACTTTGCTCTCATGGGAACTGCAATACTCGTCTCAGGGGACACCACTGTCTCAGTAGCCCTTCTCTTCCACCTTGTGCTACAGAAGCACAAATCCCTCGCCCTTCTGAGCACGGTTTCCTAACCTCCCACTTCCAAACCCTCCTGAGCTTACCTCAATCACGACCTACCTTCTCTACAAACCCATTCCTCCTTCCCACCTACAACTAACCACCCTTTGCTCATGGGACTCAACTCTAACTTCTCAGATAAAACACCTTGGTGTTTAGAAGCTGTCTGTATTGTTTGTTCAACTTTCCTCCCTCTCTCCATTTTTTCTTATGTTCCATTGATCCTGGCTTCAATAATTGAATTTGTCCTTTGCACATTACATGGCAGGCCATAAGATGTGATTTAAACTCTATTTTCTCATTAAATATGCAGTTTAGATCAAAGGTCTATAATCACCTACATGTAGACTTTTTTCTCTATAGAGAAAATAAGATAATAAAGTCTAGGCTCTGTCAACAATATTATTCAAAATTTTAAATCCAAAGTGTCTACCAAAAACATTTAAAATGTTTTATTACAACTTGGGCTATCAATTTTCAGATCTAAGTTATATGCACCTAACTAGAACCAGTTATATAGATTCACCGTTGAGACCTGAGTCTGAATCACCCTACTCAATGATTTATTCATAACACAAGTTTTATTTAAAAAGCCGCTGACCACTGTGCAGTTTAAATGAGCAGGTACACAGACTGTGCTTAACCAGGCTGCCTGCTTACAGTGTCAGTAAACACCAAATGTTTACTCTGGGCTATTCAACTACCTGTTCTTTTTCCTAGACACTTGACATAATGCTTATTTTACTGCTATATTTATTTAAACCAAGGCAATCCTACTACCAGATTTTAGTTGTTTTTGTTTGTGACTGTAATTTAATTACAAAGTTTCTCTTTTCTCTTCCCTCCCTCCCAAACCTCCATATACCCCTCCCCACTTGTCTTCAATATAAGGCCTCATTTTTCATTAACTTCTATTGTATTCTTATATGTATGTTTTCTGGGAGACAGTTTGGCACTGGACAACCAATTGGTGTGTTCTTCTTTGAAAATGAGAAGCTCGGAAGGTGGAGAGATGGCTCAGTGATTCAGAGCATTGACAGCTGACTTTTTTGTTTATTTGTTTTTGTTATTGAGATAGGGTCTCTCTACATAGCCCTGGCTGTGCTGGAATTTACTCTGTAGACCATGCTGGCCTCAAATTTACATAGGTCATGGGATTAAATGCATGTGCCAACATCCCCAGCCTTTAATTCAAAGGAATTTATATTTTTTTTTTACAAATTTGCCTAGGAAATAATAATGAATTACATATTTTTCCAATAAATTGCTAATTTTGGCAACTGTGTATACTCTGAGATATAACCCCTCCTGAAGGTGTCATGTTTCCAGTTATGTACTTAGGATTCTTAAATCAGTCACACTAATACCACCTGCATGCTGTTTCTGCCTTGCCTGCTGTGTCCTGTAGCTATCCAGTACAATGAGAAGCACACAGTGTTCAATCTGATTTCTAGACTTCTGACAGAGGCGTGCACCTGTAGTTGTGGCCATGCCTGCCACCTGCCACTGCTCCACATCGAGCCTTTCCACCAAAGTTTTATTTAGCAACATGTGGTTAAACCATGCAAACTGAATTCTAGATGCCTGTTAGACAGGTTTGCAAGACTTCACTACAAGGCAACATAATTAAGTCCATCATTAAAGATAACACAAGATCTACCACATTGGTAGATTATTTGCCTTTGCCTGTGAGGTTTTTTGACCCCTCTTCCCTACTGTCCCTTTGCAGATCTTACCTATACCTTTGCTGTAGCAACTGTCCCTAATCACCAAAGATGCACACGGCCCAAACCCTATTCAAAACAAACAAAGATCTTTAATACATATTTTATACCTCGACATATGCAGCTTACATGGTTTCACTTCCTACCTCCTACCACCCCTGCTCAAACTCCACTCTCCACAAATCTCTCTTGTGCCTTTATGTCTGTTTATTTTATGACCCCCCATGATTAAGCAGGGCCATGTGCGAGACTGGGATCAGAGCTGGCAGAGACCACGCCCTATTTCTTGACCTTATAGGATTCACATTCTTGGTCACTTTCCCCTCTTGGAAGGGAAACAGGCTCACCTATTCTCTCTCTCGGTGGAGTATTTAAGCCTTCATCCTACATATTCTTCTACTGAAGGCTTCTGATTGTCTCTTTCCTCCTGGGAATGGAACTTCGGGTCCATGTCTCACTGTGTGCACATGTCAAAGGGGCTACACTACACTGCTCTACAGTGGAATTCAGTTCATCACCTTCCTGCACGTGGCCCTTCACCTCTCTTACGAGGATGACTCCTACGGCTATGTAGACACATTTACTATTACTTTCACTTCGCAGACAGGTGCAAATCACAGCAGCACATGCCTGCAAGCCTAGCACTTGGGAGGCTCAGGTAGAAAGATCGAGAATTCTAACAGAAATAAGTCATGATCACTTCTGAACCCAAGTTCTTTTCCATATTTTTTCTTTGCACTGAAAACATAAATTCAAATCTTGACATCAGATCTTTATGTATTTTTCTTGGTCAGGGTTTAGATCTAAGGCCTGACTAAGTGTATACTGCTCCACTGCTGAGCCACACCCCATCTGATAGCAGACCTTTGGATCGCAGAGCTGCCACCAACCGCCTCAAGGCAGGGTATTTTAACATTAGTTCTTAAACCAGGGTGAGAAACCCCCAAACCAAAACTATGATGGAGCTGCTTCTCCATCCGATATTCCGGATTCTAGCCCATTCGCCCGGGGGTTTCTTACCTGAGATTTTGCAGTAGTGAGTTCAAATTCATTCTTTAGAGTATATAACCAGGGTTTCAAAAGCAAACATCCAATCCCATCACATATCATGTAAAAATGTACAAAACTACTTCACTAGGTACCGAAACCAAGCACTAAGTGTTTTCCTAATGAATGAGGTTCCTTGTGTGGTCTAACCTAGGCTGTCAGACCATCCCACCTGCAGGGACCGGAGGGACCCAGGCTGCGAGCTTGGAGAGAGGCAGAAGGGCCTTCACAAACTGACCCTGAGTCACAGAGAACACATACAGGACACAGACAGCAGCAATGAAAGACAGAGACTGAGCAGGGACAAACTAGACAGAAGAGAGCCGAGTGGCTGCAGAATCCGTAACCAAGCCACTGTGACCTCCCTCTGGGACACCTCAAATGAATGGCACACATGCGACCAGGAGGAGCAGCTAATGGGGTACTATTCACTTCTGTGCTCCTGGACCTCCTGACTACACTTCATCTCTAAGTGTGCAGCAAAGATGAATGTGAACCTGAGCTTGAGGTCAGATCCAGAGGCTCCATCCTGGCCTCATGATGTCATGGGCTTTGGGCACCTCTGCCCTCAGGTCAGAAGGGAGCCAAGAGCCTCCATCTCCACAGACCCGAGTGAATGTGAGCACTGCTTTCAACAAACAAGAACCCTTATGGACCGAGAAATCTGAGGAGAATCTTTACAGCTATACGCATTAGAAGTGGCATTTTTACATCCAATCTTCATAATAAACCCAAGTGAGGTTAAGCGAGGTCAGACTTACCAGGTGCTGACCAGGGCCAACCTTCCTGCCACACCACATCCAATTTACTCCTCTCCAGATGCCCGCACTTAGCTGAAGGTCCCCCTCACCCTTTCTAGGAAGCACTAGCAATACTTTCAAGTGCAAGCAATCATCTTGTTATCTTAAAGTCTCCACATTTATTGGTCCTATGATTCTCTTAACCGATGTGAGAGTCTACACTTTGCTGGAATTATTGTAAATTGCTGTTAGTTCACCTGCCACAAGCCCTGCAACAGAAAAGGTTTTTTTAAAGAAGGAGACAGACTTGTGGCAGGGATGAAGGAAGTCATTTACCTGACCAGTATTTAAAGAAAAGCTATTAAAAGATAGCATGAGAGGCGTAACCTGCTTCAGGATTACCAGTACACAAGAAAGACAATGATCACAGATTCCAACTGAAGCACACAGACCAGCGGGTCTTTAACAGAAGCTGTAACAAGACAGGTTGGTAAGCATTAATGGGAGAGAGTTTGTGGCCGCTGGCCACGGGTAGACAATGTGATGACCAGGTAACCAAAGGAGGAGGAGAACCAGTGTGGCACAACGTCGGACAGGCAGAAGAAAGACACCACTATTTCTTGGCTACACGTGTTTTGTTACAAGATAATAAAGAATTAAAGAAAACACAAGATAAGGGGCTTTATTTCTTCACACAGCATGACAAATGAACTACAAAGGGAAAAGTCTGCTCAGGGGGATTTCTTGACAATTAAGATAGCAATTTCCACAAGCGATAGCTGGAACTAGGGAAAGGAAGCTGGAAGAAATGGATACTGCACACACTGAAAACTCATTTAACAGATATAACAAGACCGAGAAAGACTGGTTATGAAAAGTGAGAAAGCCAAACATGGTGGTGTGTGACTTTAATCCTAGAGCCTGGAAGACAGAGGCAGGTGGATTTCTGTGAGTTCAAAGCCAGCCTGGTCTACACAGTTAGTTCCAGGACAGCCAGGGCTATCAAAGTGAGACAGAATTCCTAGATCTGGAGCTTGAACGGTGGTAATGCAATGTAGTACTCAAAGCTGTGGATAAAATCATCCTTGGTTCTCAGCATGCAATCTTCGGACATTCTTGTGGACATCCACCTTATTAGTACACCCGAGGTAACAGGACTGGAGATAGCGCTCAAGGGTGAGACAAGCTTAGGAAGAGTGAAGCCATGACGGTGGAGCAGGGGATGACTAGAAAAGGACCTATTTTATAGGACTGTTTTAAAAGTCAGCTGAGCAAAGATAAACCCTGTGACTAGCACGGACCTTGCATAGATTGAATAATGACTGTCCACCAAAGAGAACTCTTCAAAGCCTACAGAATGTTAACCTGGAATCAGCTCAGACTCCTGGCATTTAACTACTTTTACTGTATGATCACACTCTACCTTTTCCAAGTTTCCCTCTCCCCAAGCTCTAGGCTCTTGCCCGGATAGTTTACCAGTATGACTCAAAGTGACTTATTTCATCACTTCTCACAATGCCACATTTGATCTACTCAAAGCAAAGTCGTCCTCCTGAAGGCCTGACTTCACTGGGAAACCTCTTTATACCTTAACCCACGGCATCCCTCCTTAGAATTCCAACAGCTCTTTCCCAGCAGATCTAAGAGACAATATGACTTCATGTATATAGTGACATCCTCCTAACTAGACTCAAGGTTTCTCGTCTGGATCTTCCTACAGTCCTGTGCAGATAATCAATAAACTCTCATGGGCAAACCCATTGGTAGGCAAACTTTCAAATAGGACACTGCAGCTGAAGGTGGGGGAAGCCCGTCCACGTACCTTTAAGATTTCGGAGTCAGAATCCATGGTTACCTGTTTTATTTCAGGCTCCATATCCATGGCATCTTCTTGTTTAACTTCAGGGGGTGTACACATGAGTACTTCTGAATTATATTCAGCCCCTGTTTCTGAAGGTAATTTTTGCTTGACCTCTGGGTATGTATATATGGAAACTTCTTGTTTGGATTCAGGATCTGTGCACATGGAAGCTTCTTGGTTGGATTCGGGATCTGTATACATGGAAGCTTCTTGTTTGGATTCGGGATCTGTGCACATGGAAGCTTCTTGGTTGGATTCGGGATCTGTACACATGGGAACTTCTTGCATGGACTCAGGATTAGTACGTGCGGGAACTTCTTGTTTGGATTCAGGATCTAAACACATAGGAACTTCTTGCTTCAATTCAGGGCTCACCACTTGCTTCTCTGTTATTATGCCTTTGGGTTTTTGAACTAACCATGGAGATGTTTGCCCTGGCAAGAGATATGCTGCTACCCCTTTATAAAAAAGAGCTTTGTTTGGCCCCAAGGGTAACATGTCTTCTATCTTTTTCTCACCCTGATACAAGTGGAGAACTCTGGAGATGTAGTCCGAGACAGCTAAGATAATATTCCCCTTTTTGCCAGCATTCTCTTTCACAGAAGCGTAGGAGGACAGGCACTTGTACCGAAAGCTTTCGAACATGCCCTCCGGGGTGATGTCGTTGCCGAGCAGACAGGCTAGAAGAGGGAGGTCCGCCACATGGAGGCCGAGACTCTCACAGAGTTTCTCACGGCACAGCATGACGGTTTCCAGAGTCTCCAGGCAGAGATCGCCGATTGAAAAGTAGGGACAAGTGTCATAAATTAAGTAATCGGTGTCTTCCCCCAGGATCCCAAGACAGTTGTGCAGGAGACCATAAGAAGCCACTTCATAGTCTGCCTCCTGTAAGGAACAGAAAGTTTCCTGGCCCAGTGACTTCAGAGCGAACCGTGTAAATATGGCCAGCCCGGAGGGAATGAAGAACATGTTTCTGCCTGGCTGCTCTCGCTTTGACTTGATATAGTGGAAAATCTTGGATATCTCTCTGTTGTTCTTAAGTCTTCTCTTTACCCATTCATCTCTCTTACCCGGCTCCACCATGCCATCGAAGAAGAATATCAACTTGATGCCGGCAGACGTGAAGGCTGTGACAAAATCTCTCAAAGCAGAAAAGTATTCTCGCCACTGGCCACCACAGATCCAAGACTCCGGCGTGTACCAGTATCGGAGGCAGCACATGGCATCCACCACGATGGTAGGGGTACACCCAGGGTACTTGGTTCGGTGGTTCTCTGCCAGCTCTTGGATATTTACTACAGTACATATATGTGGGCAGGTACTTCCCACAAAACCCTGCAAACCTCTCACCCCCATAATTGGTTTTATGAATCTGAAAAAAAAGGAAAAAGAAATCCATAATTAGTAACTATGGCATTATTTCCAGACATGTGACACCCATCAAAGGACACAGACAATATTTAATCTTCTAAAAGAAACAAAGGGAGTTTCTAATTGTAATGTTGTTTCTGGTTTTGTTGTTTGTTTGTTTTGGGGGGTTAGTTCCATATGTGACCTAGCCTACTTGCCAGGAGTCATAAGACATAAAGGCACTAAATAAAAGTAAAATTATTACTCAAGGTTTTCTGAAGGATTGGCTTAAGGGGCTGAGCTCCCTTCTAGTTGACCAGGCATGTGGTGGGTCTGTGATCTCAGTGTGTCTGATGGAGGCCGACGAGAAGGAGGCATGCCTGAGGATATACTTTGGAAATGTCAGGTACGGATACTATCTCTGTGCTGGCACACACATTTAACACAGGCGTCAAAACACTTCAAAGTATGCAGGTAAACCCGTCAAGTACCCTCGATAACGGCGTGAAAAAGAAGCTGCATAAAAATGTATGGTGTTAAATAGTTGCATCATTTGAGATAATGAATATGAAAGAAATGAAATCTAGATGATACAATGTAGATTAAGGGTCAGAACTCAAAATGTAAGAAAGTACCACCAGAGTAAGACGTACTTACACACATCCTTATATATAAATGAAAGACATTCTTCAGACAGACAAGTCCATCAATAGTAGAAAAAATTCCACAAGAAATCTTGCATCTTAATGGTATATTTTTCCTATTTTTTTGTTTAAACATGGCATCAAGCCACTAAGTCCTTTGATAAAATATTAACAATAACAAATCCTTAATATACAAAAAGCAACACAGAATAATGCCTCTTGAAGACCTGGGACAGAGAGACGATCTCAGCTTAGTGTACCTACCAGCCAGGCAGAGTTGGGTATACATGTATGCGCGCGCGCACGCGCACACACACACACACACACACACACACACACACACACACACATCAAGGATTTATCCCCACACTGGAATGACAGCATCTGAGCTACAGCAGTAGGTCTACTGAACCCGGTGACAATGATTATCTCAACTATCAGGGTATTTCTTTGACCCCTGGATCTGTCCCCACATTCAGGAAGGCTGTACTCTGCTGTTGTGGCCACGTTAGTAGTTCTGGGTCCACCCATGGAGGTAAATGTCCTGCCACTGAGTTACATCTCAACCCCTGACAACTTACGTTCATTTCTGGAAAAGGGTGGTTTTTGCTTTAATATCATCCAGCACAGTGTGCAGAAGACAAGGTTTTGTGAAAGAAATATATGCAGACAACAGTCAGAAGAGACAGATTTCACAAACCCTAGACCATTGGTCTGCCCCTAGCTCTGGATGAAGAAGGCCTCTCACAGTTTACTGGGGATGAATAGACAGATCTAGGCCTTACCCATTCAGAGACCACATCTCTGTGTAGTGAGAAAATGCCCCTTCTCACCTGCTCTTCACTGGGCGCTAGGACACAAGAGACTCATCCATTAAGACACAAGTAACAGCCACATGGTCCATGGCCGGCATCACTCATAACGCAGAAAACAACACACGTGCAGACAGAGTGAGAGGAACAACTGACGTCCACTGCCAGTAAGTGGGAGTTTTGTTGTTCCTCGTTTGTTACGAGTGCTTTCTACTAAAGCAGCTAAGACAACAATGAGTTCCTTGAAATATTATCCTTATTTTCCTGGACGCCGGGCTCAGCACACTGCTTTGGTTCTAGTCACATGTTTCTGCTCGTTCCTTAGCCTATGATGGAAAGCCTGCTGTTTAACAGGGCAGGCACCGCTTCAGTCCTTCCTAGCTTTCCCATTGGGCATTTCTCACACTGTGTGCCACAGACTACCTGGGGAAAGCGACATCTCACACACACTCACACACACACACAAACATATACACACATACACAGATATATACATATATACACATACATAGACATATAAACATGCATACACATACAGACATACAAACATACATACACATCAACACACACAGAAACACACACACATACAAAGATATATACGTATACACATACATACACACACATACATACACATACACACATCAACACAGACGCACACACTTAGAAAAAGGAATGGGGACCTATGGCATTAGCATACATCTTTTGACATTTAAAGGTTTGTTAACTGTTAAATATTCGTAGAACCCAATTCCTTCCTGAAAGGAAGAAGAAAGACTCAGTAAGCTCCCCAGTCTCAACATCCACAAGGACCTGTCCCAAAGTTACAAAAGCAGTAACTGCTCAGGGGAAGACACTTTTCAAACAGCCCAGGTGCCTACAAGTTGTGGAGCGAGTTCCACGGATGCAGTTTTCCTGAGTCCTTACTCGTGCTGGACTGGGCCTTCGGTCACCCATGTTCTGTAAGGAACCTCAGTAAGTATAGTTCCTTACGCTAGCTTAGCTGGAATCTGTCTTTTGATCTGTTGTCGGTGGCCTACCTGGGGTGGACAGGCATTTGCTTACACTTCTTCAGAAAGTGTCTCACACACAACACACAGATAGTACATTTTAATATAAAGCATCAGGAAAAAAAACACAGAAAGCTATGGATATTGTTTAACTTATTGTTGTTTTTCCTTATTGTTAAAAGCATGTGAGGAGGATCTTAGTTTCCTAAAGAAGTTATTACAGGATGACTGGAGAAAAAAAAAACAAGTATAGAAATAAACGGGGGAAATTTTACAGCTATATACTGGGAAAGTGTTCTCAGGTACATAAGCGGTACATAAATGTGGAGGCGAGGAGAGCCCACTCCTACTTACTAGACAGAAGTACCATGGCTCAAAATACAGTCTGAGACGCTCTGAGAATCACTACCAATAGGGTGGGCCTTTTGAGACAGTGACATCACTGTCTGTCACACCACAACACACTCCATAATGTCTCTGATATGTTAGGACCAATGCCTATCTGAAAAAATAAATGAATCAAACCAAGGGCAGGTGTATAAAGTGAGCAGAAGATCCCACTCACAGTTTAGATTCCCATAACAGCCAAAGAGAGAAAAGTAGAGAAATAATGTCTGATAATAAAATAAAAAATATTTATACTTGGCATTAAGTTATATAACAACAGTCGATAGCATTGTGTGGAATATATTCTTTTTATCAAGGTGGGGTCAACTGAGAAATTAAATTAATCTGATACCTGCAATACAGAAGTTACAATGTTCTACCCAATGACCAATCCCTACCTTCAAAAAAATCAATTTTTTTTTGCTTTGAACGCAGAGGCAATGGGGAGGGAAAGAAAAGAACAAGAATGTTTGCAAAGCAGCAAGAGGAGGCAAATTCCAATTTGTAAGCGGCCTACGGTATACAGTTTAAAGATACTACTTCTTTTTTTTAAGAATGCCAATTATGAACAGAGTTATTGCGTTCCCAGTGCCTTGGAAGCTGCCCATGTAAGCAAAGAGACCCAAATCCTGAATTCGTGAACTTTTCATTATCAGGTCTATAAATATTCCCAGATTCCAGTTTGGAGATAGACAGACTCTGAAAACTGAAAACAAATGACCTCAAATGTTATCCATTTATAAGACTTCTCGGGCCAAAGATGTTCACAGATACCAACGTTTGGAAGATTGGCTGAACAGAATTTTTTTTTTTTCTTTTAAACTGGGAGGATGGCAAGAGAAATACGCGTCTGTTGGTGGTGCATTGCAAAAACGGCTAAGGAAAGGGTAGCCAGGGCTCCCACGCTATAATGACGTCAGTCAAGGTCAGGGAATACCCACTAATGGACGGAAGACGGGGAAAACAGTGAGGGGCTTCTTGAAGGACGTGGTCGTGGGTAACAGGTCTGAGAGCTTATCTAGAAAAAGCCTAAACCTAAAGGATGACCCCCTCCCTAGAGGAAGGAACGCAAAACAGCTGAGGCCCAGCCCCTCCTCCTCGCCATCACCTCGCGCCCACAGCTCCCCTACCGCGGGTTTGCAGGTACCAGCTCCTCCTTCCCCGAGCCTGAGACTTTACCTCGCGGGTCCTCAGCGAGCAGCGGCTGGGTTCGGGAAGAACCTCCTCCCTGCTCCACCTGCAGGATGGCGACTGCCTGGCCCCTCCTCCCAGACCGCACCAGCCAGGGGTGCAGGAGCAGACAGGGCAGAGCAGTCGGGGCGAAGGGCGCGGAGGGGCGTGGACTGGATGCTGGGAGGAGCCCCGGGCTGGGGAGGTGCGACAGCCGGGACCGAGGGCCGATTGCCCCAGCACGGCCTACCTAGAGGATCACTGCAGTAACCGCAGATGCGTCAACGAGATTTCAGATCCGCAGTCTCCTGCATGCTCACTTCCGCTTCCGCAATATGCACTTCCGCCCGCAGATGTGCCTTGCTGGACGAGGTGAAGCTTGAGCTTACGTAACCGGGAGTAGAGGGACGGTGGGACGAAAGGGATGTAGTACGCAGGCGCCGGAGAGGGCTGCGAGGTGGGTGGTGCCCAGGGAAGAGGGAAGCGTCAACCCGTTACCCAGCAACCGGGGACTAGCCACGGAGGCCCGCCCACCCCTGGGTAACCCGACTGCGCGCTGGGTGGATTTGTCCCAAAGACTGCATCTTCAGGATCCAGTGGTTGCCAGCATCAGCACCCTTTTCCTGCTCCCGCAGTGCATGCAGACAGGTCGCGGAGAATACTGGCTAGACCACAACCTGTATCCCTTCTAATAGTAGGAGGCTGTGAGGATACTGGTCTGGTCTTGAATTTTCCTGGAAATACCAGTACTGAAGGACGGCGCAGCTTGGACACCCGAGCGAGGGCTGAGGGTCCATTAACAGAGTGGTCCCAGGCAATGATGCCCGTCAGTTTATTGGGGGAGAGTTTAGGGTGGCCAGCCTTGTGGTGTGGGCCACCTTCGGGCTGGCTGGAATAGGCAAAATGTGTCCCTTTGTGTCGGTAGCCACCAGTTGAGAACCCTTGGATCTCAAGGTTACTTTCGCTTTAATAGCTGTTGAGTCAACACATCCAGCTGCGTGTGTGTTAGCTTTATGGTGTCCGGGTTTTCAGCTCACGGATGCTTCCTCAGCAGCCAGAGATAGCAACTCAGTGACTTTCGGGACTCCAGCAGTAGCTCAGCTTGCAGTTTTTCCAGTCTGAGCATTCTGTTTTTTTTTTTTTTTTTTTTTTTTTACCTTATGCGCTTTCTGTTCTTCTCTATATCATACTTTCCCAACACTTCCGCCCTTCACAGTCTGAGCTCTCCCTGGTCTCTATGACAGCCCTCTTCTGCAGGGTGCTGTGCCCTGAGCTAGCAGCTCTGGACCCATCTGTTCATGCAACCAACACAGTCCACCCTACTCATGATACAAGAGTACAAGTAGACCTTAAAACCACCTGGAGTGCCGGGCGGTGGTGGTGGTGCACTCCTTTAATCCCAGCACTCTGGAGGCAGAGGCAGGCAGATCTTTGAGTTTATGCTAACCTGGTCTACAAGAGCTAGTTCCAGGACAGGCTCCAAAGCTACAGAGAAACCCTGTCTTGAAAACAAAACAAACACCTGGAGTTTGACAGCACAGGGCCAGCTTGCAGTAAAGACATCTCCTGTATACTATCATGAGGTCTGGAGTAACTGAGTAGGGTCATCTAAGAGTCACTTCAAGGTGTCATGTCAAAGCAGAGTTTCCTAAGCCAATGCTACTGCAGAGGCCGTGGTTAATTGCAGTAGTTTCTCTGACTGAAACAAAGTCTCTTTGGAGCATCCACAGCTGACATGAAGTCATCTCTGGACATAGTTGCAGTTGATGACAGCCTGAGGAACCTCCAGGAGCAACTGCTTGGTTTATAGTTCCTGCTTGATTGGCAACTCGAAGGTCTCCAGAAATTGTGAGACCCAAGTTGCAGTTGCCACCACTCTCCCAGTCCTTCAGGAGTGGCAACAATATCATTCACAGTTGTAGCAGACTTGGGAATAGTGGAGAAGGTTCAATGAGAGACAGTCCCAATTCAGCCTCTATAGATCTCTCAATCTTGGTTAGTTTCTCAGTATCTTAGCTACTTTTCTAAGGCTTCGATAAAACACCATGACTACCATTCCTGGTGCGGAAGTGTGGCACCAGGGCAGCTGAGTTCACATCTCCAACCCCATGCAGGAAGCAGAAGACGTGAAGAGGAAATAGTTCAGGTTTTAAACCTCAAAGTCCACTGCTCTCCCAGTGACAGAAAGTCACACCTTCCAAACCTACCCGAAGTGTTACCAACTGAGGACCAATTATTCAGTATTTGAGCCTGTGGGGGACATTCTCATTCAAACCACTATACTCAGTCTCTGAGGCAATTTCTGCTATGACCTGATGGGACTTGTCAGTCTAGAAACCAAACCATCCAGCATGTTTTGGTTAGATTGCCTGTAGGCAACTCTGTATGGTATTTTCTTGATCAATGATTCCTTGTGGGAGGGACCAGCTTGCTGGGGGCAGTGCCATCCCCTGGCAGAATGTCCTAAGTTGTATAATAAAACAATCTGAACAAGTCACAGAAAGCAAGCCAGTAAGCAGCATTCCTCCATGGCTTCTGATTCAGTTCTTCCCTTGACTTCCCTCAATGGATGGTGACTCAAGATATATACACTAAATAAATATATGACTTCCCTCTTTTTGGTCATGGTGTTTTATCATAGTAATGGAAATAATAACTAAGATAGAAATTGGTACAAGGTTCATGGGCTATTGCTCCGACAGACCTGACCATGTTTGATGAATGATTGTGGAAGGACTTTGGGACTTTGGACTAGAAGAGCCATTGAGTGTTCAGAGCTTACTGAGCTGTTGTGAGAACTTAGAAGTTAATGCTGAGAACGATGTGGATAATGAAACTCTGGCTTTTGAGGTTTGGAGGGAAGTTTGAGAGTCTTTTAAAGGCACTATCAGGGCCATTCCATATTTTGAATTAAGAATCTAAAAGCTAGAGAAGAGCACTTGTTACTATTAAAAAAAGGGGGGGAACCTAAGTTTGATCCCTGGTACCCACAGAGCAGCTCACAACCATCTATAATTCTAGTCCCAGGAGATCTGCTGTCCTTTGACTTTCTAGAGCATCAGGGAAGCAGCATCACTGAGGCAACACCTTCTGGGAAGTGTTCATCAGTGTCAGCACCCAGAAGCTGTGGTCCAGCTGTGGCCAGGTCTGTATCTTGTACTGGCAGCCAAATTTGGTTGTGTTTAAGCATCTTCCAGGTGGTAATGGTTTTGAAAACATGAAGGAGTTATGGGAAACAGCTGAGAGTCCAGGAGAGGACATAGGTGAAAGTTGGTCCAGTTCCAGCAGGGACCCCAGCATTTTGGAGATGTCAGTACCATAGGCCTTCAAGGACAACAGCAGATGCAACCAGCCTGAGCCTGTGAAATCACTATGTGTGCTGTGGACGCCGCAGACAGAGAGTCCTTTAGAGCCCAGAAGATCATGAGTCCCAGGTCATGAGCACTCCTGGACTTCAGTTTCACTTTGATTTGAATGTAACTGTGCCCTGGTTTTTCCTGTTGGAGTGAGAGAAAATATTTAACTTGTTTTGATTTCATAGGAGCCACAGTTGAGAGACTTTGGACTTTTAAAGAGACATCGTGTTTTTAAAGAGAACTTGGACTTTTAAAGGGTTGAAAAATTTAAATTCATGGGACTTCTTATTTATGTTTAATTTTGTGGTGTTGATATTAACATGAGATCTTGGGGATAAACAAAGGAAGGGAAGTACTATGGTTTCATAGTAATGTATTTGTGCGTCAGGGTCATAAGAGATCAATTTTCCTGTCTTTTTTTTTTTGTCAGCTTGACACAAAGTAGTGTTATCTGGGAAGAGAAACCTCAATTAAGAAAATACTTGCATCAGATTCCCTTTAGGCAAGTCTGTAGGTATTTTCTTGCTTAATGGCTCCCACAGAAGAGCATGGCCCTCTGGGGCAGTGCCACCCCTGGGTAGGGAGTCCTGATTTGTATAATAAAACAGAGTGAGCATGCCATGGAAAACAAGCCAGTTTCTCCATGGCTTATGATTGAGTTCCTGCTTTTAGTTCCTGCCCTGCTTTTCCTCAGGGATGGAGAGTAACCTGAGTTATAAGATGAAAGACATCCTTCCTTCCCCAAACTGCTTTTGGTCATGGCATGGTGTTTTATTGCAGCAACAGAACCCCCACGAAGACACAACACCCGCCAGAGGAAAATATCAAAGGGTGCTTTTCACAACGACTTAGCATGCAGTTAACACTTTCCTTCAGTGACCATTTCCTTAAATCATTAACCTCCATCCTGCAACAAGTTTAAGGATTGAGTCTTGATGGCCCTCAATGGGGCCATGCACACTCAGGGCACTCTCAGACTTGATGGCCCTCAATGGGGCCATGCACACTCAGGGCACTCTCAGACTTGATGGCCCTCAATGGGGCCATGCACACTCAGGGCACTCTCGGACTTGTAGCAAGAGGCCACATCTCATGCTTCTCCTTCTTGGTTACAATACAGCAATAGATTTCATTCATTTCTTTAGTTTCCATTCCGTGTTCTCTGCAATCAGGGGAACACTTCTTCAGCCTCTTGTAAGACAGAATGGCCTTGAGATCAACATAATCTTTTAGTATAAGCTCCTGAAAAAAATCCAATTATTAATATACCAAATTGATTAAGGTGCATCCCAGTGAGGACTTTCTGGTTCCTAGTGAACTAATGAAACTTCATTCAAGGAAGTAAACTAATTTCCTTCCTTCAGGATCGTTGGTAGAACACTTGATGGAGTGTTGTGGGACACTGGTTTTACCCTGTAAACATTTGTTTCTTGTACTTGTTTAATAAAATGCTGATTGGCCAGTAGCCAGGCAGGAAGTAGAGGCAGGGCAACGAGAACAGGAGAATTCTGGGAAGAGAAAGAGTCAGTCTGCAGTCTTTATCCAGACACATAGGAAGCGAGACACAGAGCAAGCAAGATGTGATTGCCTCGCTGAAAACTGTACCAAGCCATGTGGCTAATACAGCCAAGAATTATGGGCTAATATAAGTTATAAGAGTTAATAAGAAGCCTGAGCTACTGGGCCAATCAGTTTATAATTAATGTAGGCCTCTGTGTGTAGGAATCTTATTTGGGATTCAATGGTTGTGGGACCTGGTGGGACAGAAACCTCTGTTAACAATGGAGCACTCAAAATCCATAAGTAAGTTGAAGTTAGACTATGGATATGTTAAGGGGTTGAAAAGACGTCTTTCTGATAATCAGGGCAGTCATTTCCTATTGATTTTTTCCTTCTAAGTAAAATCAACACATAGTACCTGGAACTTGCTGGTTGAGGATGGTGGGTTTCATAAAAAATATG